AAATTTTGTGAATTATTTTTTAAATAACCAATGAGATCTTTTGATTTTTTTTTTGTCTTTTTTTTGTATTATATGATCATGTTGGCATAATAATAATTCAACTTTGATAGATGCAAAAACTAATTGATTTACATTTGTCAAAAAATGAAACTATGTTAGGTAAATAGGTTTTAAAATTTTTGAAAAAACACTATGACAAAATGATGCAAAAATATTAAATACATACGTGATAAATTTAACATGATAGGCTCTAAAACAAGAGAAAAATTTCAAATCCAATATGAAATTTATTTTATTAGAGAAAAAAATTAATCTTTATGACAAGATTTTGCATGGACCTATGTATTTGATTATGTGACTTGAATCCTATATTGCTTTGATATGAGCCTAATGAGCAGAGATGAATCTTATTAATCTAATCTATATTTCTTTAAAAAGATGTGAAATGAAGTATTAAAAGTTTCAAAAATACTTAAGATATTATTTTCTAATAGATTTTCTATTTTTTTGATTTTTTTATCTCAATTTCTGGTTAGACTATGCAAATGTTGACTATACATATTATCTGAACAAATAAAAAGTAAAAATAAAAATTAGTCGTGTATTTACATTTGAAGTTGGATGCATTAATTAAAATTCTATCTTGCACAAATTGAGAGCTCATTCATAAGCAAAATATATCATGGAAAAAACAACAATTTCGTTTTTGAAATAGACGTATCATTTAGATGAAATTGAATATGATGTTTTCAATATATAAAATATTAAATAAAAATGAATTAATTTTTTTAGCAAACTAGATACTGAAGAGCAAGATGAAACATATCCAAATAAGATAACATTTAATAAAAGATAATCAATTTGAAAATAATGAATTAATTAGGATTGAGTATACAATTATATCATATTAGTGCATTGACCAAAGTTATTTCTTTACAAAATAATTAAAACAGATTTTGTTATTAGTAATAATTTTGTTATAAAGCACAAAAAATATACCAGTAAATTTGTTATATCTCTATATGATCTTTCTTAACTAACTCTACGTTTGATATTTGTTAATTCTAGCTTAGAAAGTTGATAAGGTCAGATATTTTACAAGGATTCACTTAGTAATCGAATTGATTATAAATGTATCAAATATCAAGTTTTGAGTCAAGGTATAATTGTTGAATGCTCTCTAGTTAGTGTAACTAGAGAGCTAGACATTTTTAAGATAACTGTTTGTTCTTCTTTTTTAAATAATAAAGATGTTCAATAATTATGTTATGTTCTTGTGGACCTAGCCTCATAAATCTCATATTTTTTTGTTAAATGATGATTTGCGTTTATTTGTGAAAATTACATGATAAGTTTGTGGTGGGTAGCAGAAATATGATTTGAAAATAAAACTTTCACATTGAAACTTGTTATTTTGCGTTTCTTTTTATCATAAAATCAATAATATCAATCCAGTTATTTACAAGATAGCAATGGATTGTCAACAAATATATATTTGAAAATTATATTTTTCACTGCAGTCAACTGTCACTCTATGACACCATTTCCCTAAGATCTTTTATGTTGGTTTGATTTTTCACACATACTTCTTACTTGATGTGTCCTTATTTGCATAGTTTACCAAAATGTTTGGCTATTTTGATACTGGACATGATACTATCATGCAACAATGAGAATTTCCAACAAAGTTTCTGTATTTTGAATCTTATAAAGTGTAGACTCCCATGTTGTTGCTTGCACATGCATTTTTTTGGTCAACACGGTCCAATATAACATTACAGTCTGAATTTTCTTCATTGCTCGACATGACCTCTATTTTTAGAAATCACTTCATTTCTTGTGCGTTAGCCGTTTTTTTTAGTAAACATTAAATATTTCTCATTAACATGTCACTTGCACATAATTCTCGCTAGTATCCATAGTAGAAATAATCATTAGATAATTACTGTAACTATTTTTTGACATTCATAGTTAAATTAGAGTAAAAAAAATACTATTTGCCAGAGTAAGATTACGCCCACGGAACAATTTCAAGCTAATAATGAATCCCTAAAATTTTTCACAAAGGCTATCCTAGATCTCTTATATAGCGTTAGCTATCTATTTAATTTATTACGGTTAGGTTATTTAGTGTTCAGAAAGACTTGAGTAAACTAACAATTATATTTTATGATTACGTTATGATAAAATTTTTGATGCACAAATAAAAAGTATCAGAAATGGGCTTGTATGATTTTTGTGTTAAGCATTTTTAATTGGAATTGAATCAAAATAGATTCACCGACACGTATTTTGAAACTCATGCTTTTGTTGTAAACTTACAATATCTTGTTTACATTTTTTTATTTTTTTAATGTATAAAACATAAATAATTGTATGTATGATATGTTGAAAATTTTCAGTCTCTTATTTTATTCTTCAATATTAAAAGCCTGCGTAAAACCTTCAAATGTGGAGGCTTTTTGTTATTTTTTCAAATTTATTTTACCGAATTATTCCTTTTATATTTTTAACAAGTTAAAATTATAATTATATATATACACACACACATTCACTGACACAGTAATTAGGTTCCAAGATTTGCTTGTGTTGTTCTATATACAATTGACCACATAATGTTAAAAAAACTGTATACAGATTTTGAAATATTTAAACTGTAAAATATTATTTCAATTAAATTTTCTTTGATTAAAAAATTGCCTTAATAATCATAGAATTTTTTTAATAAATATAATTAAATAATTAAGGTTTGAGAAGAAAAATAAAAATATACTTATATTTTAAGATTTTATGTTTAGTGATTTCAATTTGCTATTCAGGGGTTATGATGATGTTTTTTTTATCTTACATTGAAATTTGTGAATCAGTTCATAATAATTGATTTTTTCTTAGAAGTATCAAATACTCAATAATTTTACAAGAATACTTATAAAAGTAAGAACAATCCCTACATTTTCCCTTTTTATGGCTTTTATACTTCACTGGGCTTTGAAGGTAATGCCTTTGAAGTCAGCCGCCGTGATATTGGCTTTAATCTATTCTTTTTATATTCATAGGCTTTGAATACAAAGCTGAAATAGACTGTATGACGTGTTGACTGTACAGAAAACTTTATATGGTTTATAAAGACTGTAAAAATTTTTACACCTCTTGTTGTAATATATCATATGTACTTTTCACAGCCATCCATTGATCTGTGAAGTGTTCTCATGAGGTGAACTTGCGTTATATTGATTCCCTTTCTCACATTTTAGCATTTCTGGTTCATTATTACCATTGATAGTCTCACAATGCGATCAGGCGAACACCACTGTATTTTATATGCGTAGTCCTGTTTAGGACTCCGAAAACCTACAAACATTGCCTTGAACATCGTCTAATAGTTTTCACTTTCCAATCGGAATTTAATCTAATTTCGCAGAGAGTTCTATGACTTCGCTGACTTCGACCACCTCCGCATACTTTGTTCGTCGATTTCTTCGATCTTCGTTGACTTTGGGTCGTCTCTTTGGACTAAGACTCTCTAAGACTCTGAAGATGCTGGGTCAGATACAATAAGCAAGAATTGTGCAAGGGCAACTTGTTCTGTCTCAAACCGGCGAAACAGTCGTTTGTCTAGCCATGTCTTCGAGTGATTTGATATATCGAATTTCTCATCCACACCCCAAATTATGGGAGAGACAGGACAGCCTGACAAGCGTATCCCCCAAAGTAACTGGACAGACAAGCCAACGAAAATAACCTCCACTCTCACCACAAGCATCTGACAAATGTGGTAGGTTAGAAGAGTCAGATTCGAATCCGGATTAATACTCGGAAAGTTCCAAGAACCCTGCAGAAAGCAAATTTCTCCGGTTCCAAATGCAGTGAAGATGCCCGGAAGGTTATTCCAAAAGCCCGGGCGCTCCGAGCCTTCCCGCCGGCGGTAGTCGCCCAACGCGCAAATGGGTAGTCAAAAAGAAGTGTGCATGACGGCATTCCGGTGGAAATGGACTTTTGGCACATTTCTTGTTTGTGCTCAAAAGTGGATGAAATGTCATTCATTCCAAGTTTCAAGTAACTGTAGAGGTGATGAAATGCAGATGCATGTAGGATTGCATGAATTCAGTTGGCTCCCTGCGAGATCTGGCTAGCGAGGCCGTCCAGTCGCAGCCTCCCGAAGGGACAGGATAAAAATCAAATCAGGTGACTGATTCCGTAGCCACAGTAGCGAGTACCGTAGCCTTGTCTCTCGAACCGACCAATCCCGATGCGCAGCGCTAAAGTCCATCCCCGTTGCCAGCCAATGAGGATCGCGGGTGGCGGCGGCAACTGCACGGACAACTCGACGGGTACAGTCACTGGTGAGTGGTGACACTTCAAAGCTGGCGGTTTAGAAGGGTGAGTCAAAAAGGCTGTGTCATGGAGGTTGGAATTCCGGTCGAAAAGTGGCCATCGGCGAACAACCACTCAAACGATTCCACGTGTGATCGAAAGTTCTTCAACTTTGGTCCTCGTCTGAGGCGAAGGTACATGCGACGGGAGTGTGTCCAGGTCAGCGTCGCAGGATGGCACTGAGTGACGCGACGATATCCACTCAGCGGGCGCGTCGGGAGTTCGATAAAGATAGAGTGCACGGCACCGTCAAACAGGAGACTAACGGCTGATCCACTGGCTCTGATACACGTGGCGAAATCGACCAATAGGATTTAAGCGGAAAAAAAAGCTTGCACAGAACCTGGTGAGACCTCGGCAGGACACCATCTTTGAGTAATGGTACCCACCCAAAGCCGCTGCACACATGCAGCATACAAACCATCCGAAAACGTACCACGTGGCGACATCCTGAATCTTTGAGGCACGTGTAGAATCAGAGATCGAGGTGAGGATGCCATGCGTCCAGGCTTCGTCTTAGGGCGCACGACACGCTAGCGAGCGACTTGCCAGCGCGCGAGTTGTGACGGGAAAAAAGCCCTGCTCGGGGTCGAATGCCGAGGGTCAAGATGGCAGAGGGAAATGCCCGAAATGTACACTCGCGCCGCCAATGGGCGTCTGCCACCTCCGCGCGATTCTTTTGGCACCGAGTGTCCGATTTGGGACGGGACTCGTCTCGACTGCGCTCGAGCGGAGCAGCTTGACTGGACCATCGTATCGAGGTTTTGTGTGAGAGCGCACGGGCACGGGGAAGGCTTGGTTGGAGTGCAGAGGCGGAGGCGCGCTAGACGAGTCGCCCCTTCGTTTTGCGCTGCAGCTGCAGCTGGGAAGTCATTGCGTACACGGTTGAGCGATACACGCAGCGCGTGGATTTTGTCTTTGGTTAGTCGATGAGTTTATCAGGAACAGGGCCTGGTGGCAGCGGAGGTGGTATGAAAACTGGCGAGCCTTCGACGGGCAGGTGGGTCTTGAAAGTTGGAGGTGCTGGCGCAGGCGCGTGCGAGAAGCGCTGGGTGGTTTCGTAGTTGGGCTCTTGGGAGTGTGGCAGTCGGGAGCTGATTTTGCCTCTTCATTGCAGCAGCACAGCGCGCGAGGGACGCGGAGACCTTAGGCTGGGCTCGTGCCGGTACGATTTGCGTCGGGGGAATTGGGACGGATTTTATGCGGCGGCGGAGGAAGAAGCGCGGCTGAGAGCATCTTGACGGGCAATTCTTGACGAGCATGGATTCTTTGGATGGCGAAGAGTCGAAGTGTTGCTCTCGTGCACGAGCCTGAGGCAGAGAGAAGCGTGTTTGTGAGGATTTCCGTGGGAGGTTTATAATATTGCTCGTAGGACTTTTCTAAACTCTAGACCCTGCGAGTAGACAATTGTAGGCCAGGACGGGAGGTCGAGAGGAAAGTCGACACAGAATTGGGCGCGGTTCGTGAGTTCGTGTTTCGAAGCGAAGCGACTGGTGCGTTATCTCTGCGAGTTGGATGACGAAACCAAGAATTGAGGAAGGGGCGCACCCAATGGAGCTAGACAGCGACGACAGCCCTACGGAGTTGCCGACCGCGGCTGGGACATGGTTCCCGTATGTGAACCAAGTGGTTGAGGGCGATGCTCTGCCGAGTGCTGGGAGTAAGCCAGGAAAAATGAAGGCCAGAGCAAGAGCAAGGGCCAAGGATAAACCTGCAGCCAGAAGCGGTTTGGACTGTGGGTCGCCCAGTGCACCTCCTGCCCCTGCTAGGAAGTCACAACGAGCGCGTCAAGTCCCGGTCAAGTTTCGAGCTCTCGTGCCGAGGCCCTTATGCCAGAAAGCGGTGCCGGCTTTTGTGCATCCTCCGAACGCCAGTGGTATACAATCCCTCCAGGTTCCTCACAGCCTCATGGTGCCCTTCCCCCCAATCCCTGTTCCTACTCCACCCGTTAGTAGTGCAGTGTCTCCTCCATCTCCTCCTGCTTCTGGTTCGCTTCATTTCTCAACCTTTCCCCGGATAATTGATCAAGCTTCGCGGCCTACCAGCCTGCCAGCTGCTACTCCTGCTGTTGCTACTCCCAGGTCGCGGTCGGTACCTGCGGAACGCCGTCGGGTTGCAGGAGCAAATAAGCGAGGTGCTGCTGCGCGTAAAAAACCATCACCACGTCCTAGCCGAGCTCAAGCATTTGCTCCTGCCTTTCAGATCCCATGTTCTCATTCTCCGAATGGAATTGCTCAGCGAACGCCAGCTGCATGTTCATGTTTTTCTGTTGCCTCCCAAAATGTTGGTTTGTCACCTGGGGGAACATTAACATCTTGTGGCCCCAGCTGTCCCTTGACAAGGTTACTTGCTTCCAGTTTTGAACCCTGTGGGGGCTTGCACATAAGTGCTCCACCTTCGCCTGCTTCTGTCTCGTACCGTAGCGAACAACTACCTAGTCTCAGTAGAGGTGATGGAGCCTCAACTTCGAGTCCTCCCTGCGGTGAAAAGGTTGGTGCTTCTTCATTCCAGCGTCCTCATTCTGCAAGGAAACCACCGCTTTATCCTCATGGGTACCGCACAAGTATAGGAAAGAATCTTCCAGCTCCTCTCGTCCTTTCTCGAAGTTTTGCTCGTGTACCTCCTCCTCCCAGTCACGAAAGATTTCCCATAATTCCAAGCCGAGCTTCTCTCAACAACCGCCCCCTCGGCTTTCCTAAACCAATGATCTCCAATTCTCAGTCTGTGCCCTGGCTAGTACCTCCACCACAGGATTCATCCCAGCAGAACGGTGGAGAGGGCAGTCCTGGACAAACACGCAGTCAGCAAAAGAGAAGACTGCGGTCCATGAGGGATGGTTTGGGCAAGAAGCTTCAGAACCTACTGCAACAGATGCAGGTACTTTCGCGTATGCCGTACCTTCTGTGATCTTCCGCTTGTGCTTAGAGATGACAACTTTTAAAACTCGTGAAGCTTGTTCGAAGCTTGATTGTGCGCCTTTACTGAGTGAGCGTTGTTTCTGAACCCTCACTTGTATATTTTGAACCCAACCGAAAATTATGCAGATTCTAAAGAGTTTGATGTGTACATTGTGAAGTTACAGGGTGGCCAGCGTCACACAACGACGCCATTGAAACAAATCATCATAACTGAAGAGCAACGAATCGACCTTGTGAACCAAATGATTGAGCTTTGTCGCGAGAACCCTGGTTTCAGGTCAAGATATTTAGGTAAATTATTTTGTTATGAAACCATTGTATATCCGGTCAACCCACCTTCTTCTGAAAGTTGTACAATCATAATGCGCTCTATGGAAAATTACACCAAATTTTTTCTCCACACATTTGTCACGCTAGTCTCCTCAAAGCCATCAATTGTAATTAAGAATACATGTTCCCTTCTGGGGAAAGCTTCCTTGAATTTCGTTCAGACTTTTAAACTGTTTGAATCAAGTTTGAAACTGCTTTGAACCCTTTTCTTTCGGCCATCGCCTGAGAATCCAACCATACAAACGGCGTTATGGTTGTAGATGCGGTGAAGATGCTGTCGATTTTTGGTGTGCTCCAGACTTCTTCTTATCACTTGATTGCTCAGGTAGTCATTTCCTGATTTCGTCCTTATTCTTTCATATTCTACTGTTTTGTCTCGTAACATTCCCATTTTTGACAAAATGAGAGCTTAGTTCAATTGCAAATAGAGACCAGCAATCATGTATTTCGAATGGTGGATGTTTTTTCCATCTTTTTAATAGGATGTTCGTGAATTGTGTAGGGAAGGAGTACAGCCGCTCAAGAGGTACTCAATGCTTATAAAAATCAACAATCTCAAAACAATGAGAGTTCTGCATCAGCGTCCATCAATTTTTACAATGCTGTGAACAAGGTATAAACGGTGAAGTTAACCTGAATTAGTGTATCCTGTTATGCCAGACTTACGGAAATATTTGGTGCAAGTAAACACGTTTGCTTTTATCTCCTTATAGACGACAATAATAATCTGTATTTTTATGAACGAGTGCTATTTTATTTCTTCATTAAAACATCTGAAGGGAATTGACAGCAGAGATTTTTTAATGTATTTGATGAAGGTTCATGAAGAAGGCGATGTAGCGATGCAGAAACTACCCAATCTGAAGGAAGCAGGTTCTTGTTCTTTAAGTAAAAGAAACGATGGTGCTTGGTGTATCACCCTTCCTGATGAAAAGAAGAGAAAGCTGAACGGATAGTTACTGATGAAAAGAAGAGGAAGCACAACGGATGACTTCACAAAAGCATAGAGTAGATGGTTTCTTCTTAGCAATAGGTGAATCAACTTGGTAGCCTTGCACTGTGCCCTATAACAAGTAAGTCAACTTGCAGGGAACATGTTTGGAATACAGAAAATTGCTCAGGAGCCTTGTCCTCAAGAGTTGCCTCGTAAATGGTTTCCAAATGGTTTCCACGGCTCTTCCGGCTATGAAATTCTTATTTGAGGCAGATGTGACAAGATCCTGTAGAACGGAATGGAGTAGCACTCAAATAGTGCTTTGGTGTATAGTTTTGGAGTAGGTAGATTGAGTGAGGTTGCAAAAGCCACTCATACTCAAATGAGAAGGCTAGGACCTCTCTCTGGCATATGCGCTGCATTGATGAAACAAGAATTTCCAATGACAGAAATTTTACTTTTCTGTTCAAGTCTTTGATGATTGGTGTATGAAGATGGTTTGGTTAGCACTTGACCTTGAGGTGGAGGTTGGAGTCTTTAGAACATTCTTGAGCACATCTGTCCATGTTTTAAATATTGTCCGGTTCGGCCGTTTTGCTCTTAAATTTTATAGAAATACCGAATACATGTTTTAAAAAAATTTTAAGCGTTTTGGGCAGGCTGTGCAATGAGTGCAGAGGAGTGTCAAAATATGTGCGTTAGTAAAATTGTCAACGAACGAACTATCATTATCGTTGGCTGATGGAGGAGAGGAGAAAGTATCTCAGAAACTGAACTTCTGAAGTTTTCAATGAAACTTAGAAATTTGGAACAGACTTGAATGCGTAGGGGCATCTCAAAATTGAGTAGTAGCAGCCAGTATCGCTGTGTGCACAACATTGATACAGATTTCAGGGGGCAAAACTATCAGCATAATGGACGGAGGAAAATATATTCTGCAGCACGTTACTTTTATGACACTAACAATCTTCGTGAAAAGTAAACCAATGTGAAGTTCAATTCTCTGACATCTCAAACAAGCGAAAGAGAGATGATTCGTCGTGTACATCTGCGATGGACGTTTTATCATTCACAAACAAATTACAAATGATACAAGCTTTACATCGCTGAATATAAAAAACACAAATCACAACTTATATAATGACAAGCACGAAAGATCTTTATTGCCTTCGAAAGGTAATATTTCTCTTTGAAGCACAGTAACTCACAACAGGCAATAGTCATCATGAAGGTTTCGATCCTAATGTACACGAGCCCGAAAATTTGAGGAATATTCCAAACTATATTTCGCATCTGGTAATTCTTACTTATCCTTATGCTAAGGCAAAATGAAGTTAGTGATGGAATCCTCTCCAGTTGGCAGACATCGTAGCAACTACGTTGTGTGGTTGTCAATAACAGTACAAGGTACTTAGCTGGCTATCTCTCCAAACACAGCTAATGGGGAAAAAGAAACGTATAGAATAAAAAACAAAAGGAAACATTTCCACTTGAGTACCAAAAAGAAAAAAAACATTTAGAAATACAAACCGGGGACAACAAGGAAAAAGGAACCAATCTTCCTCTTGTTGAGCCACAAGATCTCCAACTGCGATTAACTGCCAGGCTCTAAAAGAATAAGTGGTCGTGCCTAGCAAAGATGGCACATTGTTGCTTGAAACCCGTATAGAGGATTATGAAGTGTAAGGATTATTCTTGAAAGAGCAGAATGTAGGAGCCAATAGGACCAAACTACTTAGACTAGTGATGAAACATAATCCTCCTTGGCAAGTAGACCCATGATTTCATTACATTATCCACCATAATTCTTGACCACTACCCAAAGGACATGCCGTGACTCCAAGCAAGAGTGTTAATAGATATTTCCAAAAACCTGAAGAAATCTAACTTCGAAATCACCAAGCTGAAGATAGTTGTTGTATCGCCATCTGATATAGGTATTGTGTTTTAAGCCACACATGGATGACATGCCCATGCTGTTTTGATGTGCTCCAAATTTGAAGTGACCGCGCAGTTGAAGATCATCAATAGAATCTGTGACATGGTCTAGAAACCCTATTTGCACATTCAGATGCGAACGAAGCATCCTCGCAGAGCCGAAAAATCGTTTAACAAACGATGGGGCGATCAGATATTTAACATAAGCTCAAAATCAGCAAGGTCACAAGCTCAGAAAATAGTCAAAATAGTTAATAATGTCTCTTCAGGTACCATAAGAGTGCGAGTCATTCAACAAAAAATCAAAAATACATTTAAATCATATTTATTTCGGGTGAGTAGTTTTACATTTGCATCAGTTACTATTCCCAAATTATATACCAATTTTGCCAAATTGAAGAGTACTTTGGAGGTCCGTCATAAATGTTATGGACATTGTTATAAATAAAGCATAATGTTTTATTATGTCTATGTCATTACTTCTCCACTACAATTAAATAAAGCTAAATAGAACTGTTTCTCATGGCTCTTCCTCCCTCTTTGCATGTATACACTTTTTCCGTTTATTAAGAATTAAAATCGTAATCTCACTTAGTCTTGTCAATTTACAGGATTGTAACTTTTCTCCACTTATCATCTCTTGACAGTCTATTGATGGGTTATCAAGTATCTTTGTTAGTGAGCACAGAGATGTATCGTCTCTCCATATCTCCATCCTTTTGCAACCTTAAACTCTTCTCATCTGTTTAAATGGAGTGAAAACCTTTTTTGAGAAGTAATCTTTCCGAAGTTTTTCTTTTCATGTGTTTGCCAAAATTCAATGAAAGGATTATTTTAATTTTTGAACAATATTTTTGTAGTTTTTCTGCTTTCCACAGCAGCCTTTCTGCATCTCCGGATGGCTGGTGGCAAATTGTTCTCTTGTTTCGGTATTCAACATTTCACATAACATTTCTTAAATTCTTCTCTGTACCCTCACTAGTGTGGGGAAGGGGTGTTCTGAATCCAACCACAGAGAGGTGTTCCCGGCGGATGGACAAGTGTTCTTGCAGTGGATCCATTGCGTTAGGTGTGTCACAACCGCTTCGGAATCTTCGCAATGTTCAACCATTAAGAAGATGGAATCTGATGGCAGTCACAACTTGACCCTTGTGCTACAAGGCAAGGGAAGATGGTTCCTTGGATACACATTCACACGTACAACCAACAGATGCATAAGATCTAATTCCATCACGTGAGCCCTCAAAAACACAAAACTCCTTGAGCGCATTTGACTAGTCCATCCAGGGGGGAAGAACTGAAAAACGCATCCGCAAGATTTAATCAATCATGGACATGGAAGATCGTGTTCTGCCTGTGGGAATGAGATAATATATTGCATGCATTTTCTACAACGTCACCTATCATACACCGGCTCGACCCATAGCCGAGCCGGACGGTGATCCGTCTTCACATTCCCCTGCTCGTCAACGCTCAAGAAATGTTGCTAGCCTAGGATGTTGAAGCGTTGGACTTGGCCGGGAGAAGAGCACGGACCATGCAATTTCAAAGGGCAGCAGCGTAGAAGGCATCTCGTTTTATGAATTGACGCGTTGGAGCTCAAGGCTTTCCTCGATCTGCTTGAGCTTAGCCTGCAAAGACTTGGATCGCCTCAGTTCTGGATCGAGTTGCAATGCCCTGGAACAAGATTTCTTTGCATTGACGAAATCCCCGCGCTGCACAAAAGCGTCTGCCTTTCGTAGATGTGAGCCTGACCACGAGGGTGCAAGGATCGCAGCCTGGGCAGCATCCTCCAGCGCCCCGTCTAAATCTCCCATGGCAAGTCGCGCAGCCGATCGATTGCCGTAGATGAAATGAAGACCTCCTGATGGCTTCAACTCGATGGCCTCAGAGTAAGATTTTTCTGCTCGCGCGAGGTCTCCGTTTTCAAAACATTTGTTACCCTGTTCTTTCAGTCCGAGGGCTTTCAAATTGGTGGCAGGGTCCGCAGCCCCGCACTGAAGGTCCATCAACCGAGCCGCATGCGCCGCAGTGCTACAATGGCTTACAATCAATTGCCCTGGGAGCACCACCAAATTCGGTCCCGAGCCACACTTTCCCAGGCAGCCGCACGAATCCACAGCCACATCCGAAGGTGCGAGGCTTCTTAGCACATCCAGAGTCTGCAGACTGCCGCTCTTTCGGCATGCTTTCTGCGTGCACACTTTGATCTCGTGAGCAATCCCCCCGACCGCTTCACAAGCGCCAACTCGTCCTTCGTGGTGTCTCTCGTTCCCTCTGACGTGCATCCCCAACGGCAGCGACAACGTCCGCGGCGCGGTCTGCTCGATCCAACTGAACGTGCCCGAGCGACTCTGACGTGCCCTAGACGAGTCCTTCGGCGCATGAATGTCCGAAACCTTCAAGTGCGCTCTCGAATCCCCGAGCACCAAATTACTCGCAACCCTCAGACTCTGACTACAACCAACAACGCCTGCCACTCTGACACCCATGGCGAGAATCAGCCGCCGTCAGCTCCAACTCCTGACCCTCGAGCTCGAGCGCCACCCTGGGGCCTGCACAAGGCTTGCATCCATAAACAGCGCCGTGGAGTGCACGAAGCCCGCCCGCCATCCAATCTTTCGCGGTCGCTCGAAGAGTGAGGGCCTGAACGCAACCACCGAGCCTCAGCTCGAACGGATCCGTGGCCGCGAATTCGAGCCCCGAGTGGCGCAAGCGCAATGTGGCCGTGGGGCTCGAGGCCACCGCTGTCGCCCGCGCCGAGGCACTCGCAATCCGATCGATGCCATGGCCTGCTCTCCCTCTGTCCGCCTTTTGACACGTGGCATTGACAACTTGTTCTTACCGACGCATCGTTTGTCTCGCCACGTGTCATGCACGAGCGCTGTTCACGGGAAGAGGAAGAGGAAGAGTAAGAGGACTACGCGGTCCATTGTAGGGTAAGGCGCCATGTTCCGGTGGTCCGAATCTAAATCCGAAAATGTGTTGCTGTGCATTCTTCTGATCCGTCGGTCTTCTGCGTTTTCGTCAATCCCGTGCATCGCATATTCGTAATAATGATTCTTAATCCATTAAATTTGCAGTTTTAATTCACAGGTCCTGATTTCGTGGCTCAGCAAGGAAGTTGCTTGCGCAGCGGCGGCTCGACTACAAGGATAGAAGATGGTCCGGGACTCTGACGTTCCTCGTCCAAATTTGCCATACGGAGCTAATCTCTAGAAGACTCGACCAATCGAGTGTCTGGTTTGGTTCTGATCCGCCTGCAGAAGCCTCCTTCGGAGTCACACTTTTGTATCTTTCCAAATCAACTTCATCAAGGCATTTGTCACACTATGAGAGGGCACAGAGTTTACGTAGAAATGCCCTCAATAAAAACTCCTAGCATGAAAATTCTCCGGGTGATATGATCTTGAAGACCTCACATGTACATGTCATATTGTCTGTATAGGCATATCTCGGTACCTATAACTCCAATTTATAATATGCGTTGATATCTCATGTTGTTAGTGAATAAAACCTTACAACTCAGGTTATCATAAGCAGATCTGTAAACAACATTCACACTTCATCCAAACAACCTCAAACTATACATATCAAATTTTGGCTCGGCAAGTTTTAATAGAGGAAGGAAGTCATATCCAACCTTCAGATACAATCATACTCTAACTTTCCCACACGCTTTTCACTCGTGATTGCCCGATGATATTGATAAATAGACCGAAGAGACTCATGAGTTTTGCTTGGTAAATACAAAAAATGTATAATTATAGATAAATGTATAATTACGATTTGATCGAGCCAATATATATGTATGTAACGATCTCGTATATTTCATGCATCATGCATCCTTTTTTCTGTAGTCGTTAGAGATACCTGCGGAGGGTACTTACAATTAAAGACGAGCATGTAATAGCTCTCACTTACTATGAGCAATACTGCGCTTACAGGAGAATCACAGTTGGTAAGTTTGTGTATAATATTCTCGAGTTCAAATCAGTTCTGGTTTTTGGCCTATCTCATTGGACAGAAGAATGCATGTTCATGCTCCTCCATGATCATGCAGACCCTTTTCCAGCTCGGGAGAATGGAGGTGCAGTCGTGGAAGTGAATTCTCTACATTCCATGGTTGGGTTTCTTTTGGTATACCTTGGATAATGCTCTAAAATTGCTTCTTTTCACTTCACATTCATATTCATATTCCACGTTATTCCAAGACTGCATCATGCAATATCCAGTGCACTTCAATAATGGGGGACGGTAGCGAATGACAATGGAGATAAAGTCTGATGGTGTCTCCCATGGGCATGCTTGCGGGATGTCCACATCCATCCATCCATCCATCCATCCACCCATCAGAACCCGATCGTTGGTCCGGGATAGGCTATTGTTGTCGTTGAGAAACTTGTGCCCGTACGGAAGGAGGCACAATGCGTTAAATTAAGTGTGTATATGTATTTATTTATTTTTTATATATTAACCTCAATGACCTCCATGTTGCTTTTATCACAATGGTACATTATAGACAACTGCTGGTTCTGGTGATCTTCTCATCTTCCATTGGGTAAACCACTTAGATCCGGTCTGTAAGATAGAACGTTGGATCTACAGCTACGGCGACTGGGTTTGGTACAGAAGGGAAAAGGAAAAGAAAAAGAAAAAGAAAATCGCAAGCCCACGAAAGCAGTCGCGATCCTCTTTTTCTCATGTACATGTGTACTGAGGGCTCGATCGTACTGTACTGTACTTGAAAGGAATCTTTGAGGTCTTCGAGGAGAGATTCGCATCCGCGAAGTGCATTGGTGCATTGCGAGCGTTGTGCACAGCTTGGAGGCCAATAATTATGGACTCTCTTCATCCATCATCAGGTGGAATTGACACAAAGTGATCCCTTGCACGAGGGAGGAATGGTTTAGGTCATGCACACTCCACATTTGGACCTCCGTGTGCTCGTCTCTCCCAAGTTTAGATCCCTCATTGGCCTCTCACCGTTGGCTTTTGTGTGGAGTGATGATCACTCCGCACAATCGAGCCAGCCACTACCATCAAATTGGATGGATTGCCAGGTCGTCATTCTCGCTGATTTTTAACAAATGGGATCATGTTCAGCAAGGACAACAAATGCGCGTTAGTGTTCTAGGGTTATCACACATCAGGGCCTATTAATGAATCTGTCGAGAATGAGAAGGACAGGAAAGGCATTTGTCACTCACTGGTTAGTGGTGATTCGTGTTCCAGTGGTGGTCAACAGATTGGTCAAGTCCGAAGCGGATTAATCAGCTCAAGGTTCGGGATGGGCATTTTGGCTAAATGATCGGAGATGAATGTTGCTGTGCGTCGTCTGACCACGACGACCGCAAGCCTGAAGAATAGGCGTCGAGTACTCAGTGCAGTGCCTGTCTGGCACCGGGCAGGGATTTGACTTGGACAGTGTGGCATCAGCTCGTCTACTTACAGCGACGGGTGTTTTGTAGTAAAGAACAATGGTTGAGCTGAACGGGGACGGTGAATACTTCCAGTGAGGGAAAAGAGGATTGTCCAATCCTGTCCAGTAGGCAGCGCTTGCAGAACCAGACTCTAGTTCCCGGTGCAGAAGGTTGTGACTGCATCTCGTCGTCGGCTGCTTTGATTAGCTGTACATTATAATGTAGACCAGTACTGGCAACGAAAGGAGAGACGGCGATCTCTGAACTTTCATGGATGCTTGCGAATTGAATGGGCACCCTTGAGATTTGTGGGATCCGGCCCGAGTTTAAACTTCGGGCTTCAAGCTTCGGCTCCACCGGAGAAATCCCTTCTCCTATTCATTCACGCCCGTTTGTCGCCTCAGGGAGATTCGACATGTCTGGTGTCAGTAGCTTGAGATTTCTCGGAGCTTCAGCGGTGAGGAACAGGGCCCCTCATACTGACAGGCTTGACGTCCTCTGGGGTAACTGCTTGTCAAAGAGTCCGTCTGGAAGACCGGGCTTTACATGTGGTGGCAGTGGATCTTCTTTAGAAGCTGTCGGAATGTCTGGAGGCTGTAAGTCTTCAAGTTTTTCCGCAAATGCAAGCAGCCGGCGGTTTCTCTATTCGACTGCTTCTTTCCTGGGTAGCATCAATTACAATGTACTGTAATCCGCGTACACCATGCTGCGTGAAGCTTGTCAATTCCAACCTTTAGCAATTCACTGGGATGGTATACTCATAGCGCTCTACGTTGCTCAATTACATCCCGACATGATTGTGTTACTGGAATTCTGTATCCCCGATCTAATTTGAAGTTGTGATCACGTTTTGATCGGATGAAGCTGGATAGAATGCTGACAGTTAATGTTGTGTCGTGAATTGTGGGTCACAGAAGGTCCCCTGCTGCAGGTTTTCTGCATTCAATTGTACGAAGTATCTTCGAGGACGTTATGGCTGTAACTTCTCCAATATAGTCAGAATACAGAAAATGACTGCTAGTGCTGGTGAGTTGAGTTTGCAAAAATGTATTGAAGCTTCTAAAAATTCAATCGGTTACACTTGCTCTTGAACCTTTCTGACCGATCTTATTTTCCATACATCCTCTCACAGACTTTGAATTGAGGAAAAGACCAGTGACACCAAAGGAGAAAATCAACGTAAAAGCTGTCAACAAGAGTTCTGTAGTATCCGCAAGTCTCATACATCCTCCGAGTCCTACTACTGACTCCAGGATCATTCACTCAACGGCCATTGTGCATCCAGATGCAATTATTGGCGAGGTAATGGAAACCAATCCAGTATATGTCCTTCCCCTTCACCTGTAGGTGCTTTTTTCGCACTAGTCATTACACAGTTGTCCGAAACTCCCTTTTCATGGACCTCTCGACTGTAGTTTGAGATGCAAAGGTTGTTTCAAGTATACATCGGTGTTTTCCACACTTTTGCAATCAGGAATCGGAACATAAAATGTCTTCAGGGCGGAGGAATTTCCAATGCATCTTTTGTACGTCTATTCCTAGATTGCAACCATCCTCTCATGGATCGTCCATCTCCATTCGTAGGGAGTGGAGATTGGTGCGTTTTGTACTGTTGGACAGAAGGTGAAGCTGGGGAATGGTTGCACTCTACACACTGGAAGCCATATCTTCGGCAATACACAGCTGGGGGAAAACTGTGTTCTTCTGACGTAAGTGTTCTCTACGATTGTTGATTGAAAGCATCCGTTCATGTATTTCAGTGAATGTGAAGTTTTATGCCACCCGTCACCGATGAGTCCTTTCGGCTCCTCAAAACTTGTGCAGTATGTTAATTTACAGTTCGTGGATCAACGATTTCCTACCATTCAACTAACACTTATCCCTGTGGATTGGTAGTGGCGCAGTGGTTGGTGCAGATATACCGGGAAAAACTATTATTGGTGACCACAATTTGATTGGTTATCATGCTGTGGTCGGGGTGAAGTGTCAAGACATGAAGTACAAGGTGGGGTTCAATTCCATTCAGTGTTTATGTACATCATCTGTTTGTTCTAAAGCTTTCGTTACTAATATTCTGCATCTAGTCGTACTCTAAACTCAAATAATGTGGAGCAGGAAGGTGATGAATGCCATTTGTACATTGGAAACAACAACGACATCCGAGAGTTTGCCAGCATTCACCGATCTTCCAAACCAGACGATAATACTGTAAGTAGTTTTGTGATCTCTTGTAACATGCCGAGTGATATGGTGCTCTGCGTGTAACCTCTTCACTTTTCCCTAAACATCAAATCTGAAGAGATTCGAAGTTGCCAATATGATGAATATACTGAACACCATCCGTTTTTGTGAACCAACGACGTACAGATACTCGGTAATGATAATCTCATTATGGGGTCTTGTCACATCGCTCATGACTGCAAGGTTGGAAATCGTAATATTCTTGCAAATGGCACACTTCTAGGTGGTCATGTTGTGCTCGAGGTATGCATTTATTTTTAAAAGCGAACTCGTGCCGACGGTTGTGTTTGCGATGGAAGAACGTCGTTTCCTGAACCTTGGTTTTCATTATTGAACTTATCTTCCATTTGGTTGAATGTCGCAGTTTTCACGTGCCTTGTTACAACAGGTGGATTTGGAACGCAGAGTACCGTTCAGTATGTGTTGAACATGCGGTTACTATGTGAATGAAAACTAATTCAATCATGGTCTTGTTCGTTGCAGGACTTAGTGCACACTGGTGGGGCCGTGGCAGTCCATCAGTTCTGTCACATCGGATCCTATTCCTTTCTCGCTGGAGGTTCAATGGTGGTGAATCTTTGTTTATAACCCAACTTTTGTTTCTGAACCTCGTCCGCTCTCTGCCTCATACCTGAAAGTATTTGGTGCTCACAATGTCTGCAATGTATGTGCGTCCTGTCACTGAAGTCTTGTGCACTGCTGATCTCATTCAGGTGGATCGAGACATTCCTATGTTCATGATGGTTGCTGGGGATAGAGCTGAGTTGCGAGGCTTGAACTTGGAAGGCATGCGAAGATGCGGCTTTTCTGACCTCGAGGTGTGGCCTTCACCGGGACGCCTCACATCGATGACCAATATCATTGTTGCGAACTCAAAGTTTTATTGACATTATCTCGAAGCCGCTGTCTCCTCTGTAGCTGCTAATCGAGGTGATGATGTGTTGCAGGTTCGGAGCATCCGAAAAGCGTATCAAAAATTGTTTATGAGCAGTGATGATTCTGGTGGCGTGGAGGACAGGCTGTCTGAGCTAGTAAGTATTTTTCTCGACCTCTAAAACATGAGATGAATTCTTTCACACTGGTTAGGAGTTTCGATTTGCTGCCTTGCCTTATTTTGTCATCTTACATTATCGCGGGATTGAAGTTGGACATTTGCCACAAGTCTCTAGTTAGTTTTGTTGGTTTCCCGTACTCAGAAATCTTTTTGTTCGTGGTGTAGGAACAAACGGACGAGTTTTTGGCAGTTCCAGCCGTGGGCATGATGTTGCAGTCCGTGCGAAATTGTTTTGGAGAGACGCGTAGAGGAATCTGTAGGTTCAGGCATTGGAGTAGTGTTTGATTGGTGCTGGTTGTGTCATCTCGAGCTTAAGTGGTCAGACCATGTGGCTCTGGGTTGTAAAATTTGCTCATATTACAAAATATCTACGCTTATTCTACCGATAAGCACTTGCTTTCGTCTCCTCTCCTCACTTCTGCCGAATCTGTCGTATTATTAGTCTTGCCTGAAAAATCTTCCTGAATAGGAGGTGTGACATACCCACGACGCTTTGTCACGTTCGCCGAACGTGACCTCACGAATAGTAGAGGTTGTAATACTCATGACTTCAACATACTACTTCCCACCGACAGAGTTAGCAAAACTGCCTACTATACAACGTGTACTCAAGATCGATGAACACTCAGTTCTAGTATCATAGTAACACATGACAAAGGATTAGGCTAACGCTAACGCAAGATCCGAAATTTCTTTTTTGAAAGTCGGAATTGAATTATCTCAATTGAGGACGAGCTTGAATGTCGTCAGGAAATCTCGCTAGATGGTTATACTTCGCTAGCTGTATATGGGAGTTATGGGCTGGAAGGTGAGATGCCTGGTTCTAATTTCCAGGTGGTGTCTTATTTTCTTCCTATTTCTCGGATGTCTGGTTCCATCTAAAGTTGAGGATATTGATCAGGTCACGATGCACAATTGATATACTTTTGGCCAACAACGTGCAGGAAAGTTGGCTTAGGCCAGATAGAACTGGAAATAGAAGAGAACTGCATGTTCGTTCCAGACGACCAAGTTTTCTCCAGGACTGTAGATTACATTCAGATCACCTTCACACCATGTTGTTAGCTCCGATTTGCTTGTCACAAGTATGAGTTGAACATTCCTCATTCCTAAAAGCTCAGCTTGCCAGTCATTCTCAGTGTCAATGAAAGGAAAAAGAGATAAACAGGACAGAGGTCTGGACTTTACATTCATGTCTATACCCTGATATCTTGTAAACAAGCAAATGGCAACTGATCAACTCCAGTATCCCGCTGGATCGATGATAGTATAAGCAAACGGACCATGTATATGACCATGTTCTGTGATTGAGAGTCGCAAGAGAAGCCCAGAGAAGACATCCATATCGTAGATTTACAGCGACTCACAGGTCAGCAAAGATGAAGGAAGGCCTTACGAAATCCGATTCCCGGAAATAAGCTACGATCTGCAGAACATCTGATCGAAATAGTATGGGACGGCTCACCAACTTCGACTTGCGGCAGACAACGTTCCATCAGTGTCAATCATATCAAATTCAAACAACGACCATGAACGAGGCTGCTCCAAGCCGTGTGTGTGGAAAGCAGGTTTACCTTTCGGTGAAGGGCCACGTAGTATTTGCTGGTGACCACCGCAGTGGAAATTCGTGGTGACATTTTGCCATGTCAGAGTAAATTTACACTCTTCGTCAATTCAAAAGCTTCGTCGGCTCCATTGTCCTGGGCGCTGGTTGGTGACCACGTCGCCACACCCTTCCAGATGCCAGGAGATCCTACTTCAGAACAAGATATACCTGGTAGCGTCGGGCAGTGTGCACAGCGGGAGAAAGTGAAGTGGAGTGAATTTCCGGACGAGAACAGGTCGTACCACACAGCACCTTGGTTAGCGCTTAGGCCTGACCTGCTGGGTTCGGCCAGGTTCCGAAAGCTTGTGCTGTTTGTCATCGATGTATCCAGTTTCCAGACCTGCAGTCTTTCTCTGGGTCGACTGACGAAACTAGTAACCCGTCACAAACGACTAATTCGAGACGATATTTTCCAACTTGAGCTCAGAACTGTCAGAAAACCCTGGCAAGCTTAAGCGAGCAGCAGATCAGAGAAGAAGCACATGCGAGCCTGGCCAGTGAAATTTTGCGCAGCTTTAGTTCTCTCTCAATCATTAAATCTGGCGCGAGACTCAGTCTTCTTTGATCCTGTTTGAACCCGAGAGTTCGAATCAATCCAGCACTTATGATTCCCAAACGTAAATCGTGATCAATCTGCACGGGCACTCCACCGCAGCGACAAAATGTGATGTACCTTGACAACAGCGCGCATGGAGCCATTGGCCGTGGTTGAAAGGCCGAGTCCAGGCAGGGACCGAGTTGCAATCCACAGCTTATCATTATGAGGTTTACTTGGGTTATCTCGATGAAAACGACACAGGGTTTTATAGTTTACCGAGAGCATCTGCTGTCAATTCTTTTCTGTCTGAAGGGGTTCCTGTACCGACGTACTCTTGCTTGGCTTCTCCGAGACACACTGAAAGAAGAGACCTGGGGGCCGGCCTCTTTCGTCCAACCTTCGAGTAACATTTGCAAATTAGCGCGAACCTTCATTCTCTTTTCTGTTGTAGCCGGAAGCAGACTCAACATTCCAGGTTCAAAGTCAAGCCCACGTTAATAAACTTATTGAGGAAAAACTGGATCGAATCCGCTCAGTAACTCTTCCTAGGACCTTCCTCCACGGGACTATGGTGCATAAGTCCAAAGACAGGTATTACGTACGCAAGCACATGGAACTCGATCCACCATAAGAGCTGTCGGACAAAAAGTACAAGCTCAGCTCATGCTGGGTACAAGCAAGCCATAGAGCATTGGTACATGAAGATCCGTGATACCAATGTAGAAGCAAAGGGCGAGAGAAGTACGAGCTTCCTCATTAACCATGTGTGCAGGCAGTCGAAGCTATTGACATCAGTCACTTTGGGATCATTTCTACATTGTGAGGCTCGCTCACTCGCAGCCTTCGGTCTATATCGACAGAGAATTCTGTACCACAATGCAGAAACTGAGTCGATTTATACTCTGTCCAACCCATTAATGAACAATCCTGTCACCCATAGCTTCAAGTCCCTCAGGGCAACTCTCTTCTCGCTGTCAGAAGAATTCGAAACTTCAAAGGATTTCATCTTTGAAAAGAAGGGCCGGAGCTGGACATGTTCGTTAACGTCTCTATCGAATCGGCCAACCTGCCCGTTGCCAACTGCCGAATCGGCCATCAGAGAAACCAATGGATTTTATCGCACAGCTGGCAGTGTGGTCCAGCGTGGCCTACGACTATCTTGAAGGTTCTCGAAGCAGGCTCAAGGAATTAATGTTTCGTTGGTGTTTCCCGCGACGACCGTCCTTGAGCTTGGCGTCATCGATCGGACCTTGCTCCTGGTTCTAGAGGCTGATCCATCACAGCAGCGGCGAGAACGAGTTCGTCTGCTTCACCTGACGGCGACATGATGCTAGTCTGGATCAGATTCACAGCGTGCATTCCTGCTTGCCTGCCGACGTCTCTCATGGTGGCGGCGGTCGCATTTGAGATTCTGGTGTGTCCCAATCAAGTGGGAATGAGAGTCGCTGAGCACGTGGTTCGCTAGGATGGCCGCTGAGTTCCTTGTGCCCTGGTGGAATGATCAATTTTCAGCACTCTGTTGGTTTGTCGGAGCCAGGAAGATGATACGCGTTGGTTTTGTGATGCGCATGGTCCCATCAACTAATTTTCTCCCAATTGGAGTGAGAGCGAAGTTCTTCCTTCTGGACTTGCGCTCACGCAAGAAGTCTCTGGGTGGCAGTCAGCCGCAGTGCCTCCAGAGATGAGAGTGGTTAGTCCAGAACACTAAAAGTTCGTCTACAATTGCATGCAAGATTGACACAGAAATGTGAGAAGAGGAGCTGGGGCGGCGATGTGAATGTGGAGCGTTTATGAAAGAATTAGCTGCCACTGACATCCTTTCAAAGTATTTCTGAAAGTAAGAAAGACCGACGCACAGCACGCTGCGAATGAGATGGAAACCTCCCTCCCATCGACAACCAATTCTCCACAGCTGAAAACACACGGGATCTAGGTAACCATCTCCACAAACGAACAGTCACTGAACTATCGATCGGTCCCCGGAGGCCGGCCACATGATGTCTACGAATTTTCATTCAGCTCCAGACTTTCGTCCCATTCCCTTATTCGGTCTCCGATCTCCCTCATGTTTCACGTCGACGACTCCAGCTGCTTGTTCGGATTCACATGATCCGCGCATGATTACACTGGCTCTTATTTCTGAGATCAAGCGATCAAGCGTTCGATCCTGCAGACGAAAAACGGTTCACGATCCATCTTCCAGGAAATCATTCGTCGAGCCATTTGCGTACACACTCACGTCTGCATGTGCGGCCAGCCCAGCCCAGCGACGGCCGTCGGTTGACGGTGACGCGACCGACCGGTCACCGGAGGTCACTGAGGGCCTACCTCTGCTTCCCTTTCCAGCGTATCTCCTTCAGATTGTGTTCATGGCCTTGCTCGTTCTTACACGAGATAGAGATGCAAGATTTGTGAACACTGTCGGCGTGTTCGGTCCTATGTGCATCAAGAAATTGATTATTTCGTCCCCAAATGTTCTGAGTTTCGAGTTTCTGAGCAGGCGAGAGCTCGGGAGAATTGTGGGTCCTACATTAGCAGCAGGCTTCCTGCCCACGTAGGGTTTAACTCACAGTTGCGGTGACAACAGCAGAGGCGGTGGCGAGGAGTTATTCGAGTTTCTCTGGCCTTCTCGCCTCAGGCTTTCGATATGAGCTGATCAGTATTGAAGAAAGTCGATGGACAAGAAATATTTTCGGTTTTTCTTCCAGCGAGAGTAGAATCATTAGCTCGCCGGTGCATTGGACCTTCTTCGGGATTGTATAGGATTCGTGGAGGTTCGAGCAAGGTGGAACGATGGCAATAGTTGGAACTGCAAATGCTTGTTTGTGGCGTGGAATAGTGCTTTCTGGTTTACGAAATCCGGGGACACCATTCGGTCGCGTTCAAGTGGCAAAGTGTGGGCAGCAGCGGTTCCACAAACTGCAATGCTTTGCTGAGCAGGGACATATAGAGCAACCAAAATCTGCCAGAGCAAACCTTCCTGCTCCACCTAAGGCGAATGAGCTGTGTGATAGCCGGGTGATTCAGTATGTTCAAGCGCAAGTTCGAGAACCAGAGGTAATTGTACATGTGCCCTTCTCCTCCTAGGGAGCACACATCTGCAAATTCAAAACATGTGATCTTGGTGTTTACCTCGGAGCAGTTATGCTTTCCATATTGATTATATCCAAGATTATGCACTCAAACTGGGTACGAAATTGTTCTGACTCTGCAACGTATTTATTGATGATAGATATTGAGGAATCTTCGAGAAGAGACAAACAAAATGCATGGATCAGGAATGCAGGTCAGAAATATTTTTCTGAAGTTCATTTGCAGTAGAATGTTCTTCAACTCTTTAGACTGGAGGTCGCTCACCCGCTGTGTTTTGGGAACAATTTGGCCCCGTCCTAGTCATGTTTTGTGTACTTGTCTCCTTTGAACGTAGAAAGCACTGGCATTAAACACCAGTAATTGATTTTATCAGCGCCACTTGCTCCTCACTGCTCTCGGGATGAAAGCCTGCACATTCTCTGGCTGTAATCGTAAAAGTTTTACAGACATACTTGAATTACCATGAAGGAGTGAGAGCTATGTAAACCATGAGTACTTGGCGGGAAGATATCTTACCAGTATTAAGTTCAGCACTCTACTTCGTTTGGTCTAACTCGAAGATCAAAGACTTGGTCTCAAACTGTTCGTTTCAGGTCACACCAGATCAAGGACAATTTTTGGCAATGTTAGTTCAATTGATGGGTGCGGAAAGGTGCATCGAAGTGGGAGTGTTCACTGTGAGTCTCACAAACTTCTCTTAAAGTTTGGCGTAGAATTTTGAGTCCCAGTTTTTATATGGAGAGAGGATTTTGTAGAATGCTTTTGTCCTGGAATGTGCACCGGACGTCGTCCCCCATGTTATTCCTTGATTGTTCTTATCGTGTGAGGTAATGAAAAGAAAGCATATGTTGCAGGGTTATTCCTCATTGGCTGTTGCATTGGTGCTACCAGATTCGGGATGTCTTGTGGCCTGCGATAGATCAGAAGCATCCCTTGCTGTCGCTCAGAAGTATTTTAAGCTAGGGGGTGTTTCTCATAAGGTACTGTCTTATCACAAGATCCTGGATCAGGACCCTACCCTCTCATTGTCTCAACCGACGTTTGCTGGATCAACCGCCGTCTTGAGGACTTTCGTTGTCCATTCTCTTTACGCTGAAGTTCCGGCTATGGTGGAAACGTAAGCTGTGTATAACATCCGGATGCGCAGGTAAGTGTAAGACTTGGAATGGCAATCGATACCCTCAACGAGTTACTTGAGCACGGTGGGGCAGGAAGGTATGTATGTCCTGCTTTGTTCCCATCTGGTCACGTAATGTAATCCACATAAACTACGCAGGTCTCTTTCTCTAACCTCTGTTCTCTGCATATAACTTTGACGGCTTTACGCGTTTGCCAGGTACGACCTGGCTTTTCTAGATGCAGACAAGATGATGTATCCACAGTACTATGAGCTGCTGTTACAACTGGTATGGAATGTTCGCAACTTAGTACATTTTTTGTTTAGAGTAACCTGCACTTTTTCTTTGGTGAATGACTGAATGAGTAGATTCATAGTCTAAGGCGACCATAAACAAGGGCTCATTTGAACAGTACACACAGAGCAATACAGAAGTACACTAAAAACTACTTTTACGTGGCTTCAACTGTGTTTCGGAGGCTGCCAACTGTCCGTGCGTTTCGTGTTCCACATTATTTCTAAGATCAGTAGCATGCGATGACCAACAGACTTGAACAGTGTTGCAGTGGTACGTTATGCGTAATAATGATATAAACTTTGTCGAAATGGATAAACTTCTTCAGCATTATCATGTGCAAGCTGGTCTAGAGGAAGAGTAGTCCATTTTGCTTCAGTCGATAGATTGCTTTGAGTCAAAGCAACTCAAAGCATGTCATCGTAAGCTATGTGAAACTCCTGTGTTTGCTCGAACTTCTACTTTCGTAAATTTTTCTTGTCGTAAGGTCGGCTTGCAGGCCAGGTAAAAATTGATTGCCAGCTCTCAGTTGGACAGGTTTAGGTCAGCCTGTATCAGTCAGCGTGTTCCTTTGTGCGTTAGCGTCCTCTTGAGCGAATAGCGAAAAGATGGAATCGGCAAGCTAATTTGATTTTTGAAGGTAGTTGAATGTATAACGTGGTACTTTATTCTTCTTGTGTTCCAGGTGAGGCCAGGAGGATTAATTGTGGTGGACAATGTTCTTTGGCACGGAACTGTAGCGGACCCTTTGGTAGGTCTGCACTGCTATGTGTGTTTTGTCTAAAGCAACTTTTTTTAAATACCTGAAAATTACAGTTGGACTAATAGATAGATTCTCTTTGCAGGTTGTGGACAAGAGAACCCAAAGTATCCGTGATTTTAATGATTTTTTGCTGAGAGACAGTCGCATCGACTACAATTTGGTAAGCCTCTCTTTAAAATTCGTTTGATCTTTTCATCATTGTTCATTGAGTCTGATAGTGAGGAGTTTGGGGATAGGAGCTGATCCAAATGGAGCTGCACAGGTTTCGATCGGAGATGGCATGTCTCTTTGCAGAAAGAGGTGATTCGGTGTTCTCTTGACGTAATCGAGCCCCGACGGTCATTTCTTTGTAACTATGAATCTTGGAGGAATCCCAGTTCTGATGTCATCGGAGTTGCCAAAGTTTTGATTTCAACAGTGTTAAGTGAAAAAACATCACGAGGAAAGTCATTCCGTTTCTAATCAGTTGATCTGATTGACGCCTATTCAATGCATTCAGTAAGTAGCCAAGCATCTAGACAACCTAAATGTCTCTGAGTCTGTTGTTGAAAAGACTATTATTAAGACTATTATTGAATATTTGTTGGGAATCATTAGAAAAGTAAAGCAATGCAAGAATGGGTCGACACAGGTTCCTTAGTTCTGAGGAAGGATCCACATAAGAGTTGTTGATAAAACACAGGTCCCGGATTGGGTTTAAATACCCCATCCGAGACAAGGGATGTAACGGATGTGACAAGGGATACAAAGCGAGACATCTCTATAGTGGGTCGCATTCTCATCACAGTCATAGTCCACATCACATCACAGACTATGAAACATCACAATATAGAGAATCAACACTAATGTGCAACAATGATCTATTCTAAACTCAAAACGCCAACAAGGGTATGACACTAATTCGTTTAACGTAACATACCATTTGAGTGTAGAGCCAAACCTACATTGTGTTACTTACAATAACTCACACAAGATTCAAAAGTTGGAAAGTTGGCACCGGCTCCAAAGTTGGCATCGTTTCCTCAGTCATCGCTATTGTATGTCACATCAGTGATATTATATAATTTCAAATAACAAGATCCACAAGTTGTCCACGAGTCTACTTAGTTTATCAAAAACATGAAAAAAATTCTATTACAAAAAATCCATGTGATATTCATATTGCTTATTTGATGTTGATCCAGATGAGTTAAATAATTTTAGCATTTGATTTTGTTGGTTATCGATGATAAAATTTTTTGATCATTTTGAAAGTTGGAACAGAATTAACAACACATTTTCAAATTTACTTATTAGTTTCATAGCATTGCCAAAGTACAAGATATTCTAATCTTTATCAATTGATGTGAGAGTCAATTATTTTAGAAATTTCAATTGATAACTGAGGTGTTAATTCAACAGTTACAAAATAGTTAATTCTCTATATTGTTAAAGCAAGAAAACATGAAACACCAGATGAATTTTAATAGATGAATTCTCTATATTGTTAAAGCAAGAAAACATGAAACACTAGATGAATTTAATAGATGATGGCAAGTCCAACTTTTATAATACTTCATTGACCTGCTTATTCATAAAAAGAATTCAAATCATGATAATCAAGTTTGTCATTTTGTCTTCAAATTGCCATGCAGAAGCTAGACTTTATCTCCAACTAAGATGTTTGGATTTTGCTTTTGAGATTTGTGTGTATTTCTTTTTTGCCGCTTTTTAATTTTGGCTTCATCTACTTGTGAATCTCCAAAAGTCTACCACAATAAGCAATGATGTTGTTGGAAAATCTATGATATTTTTACACATTCTTGAATGAGGTTGTGCGGTTGAAAGAGGTTGAAAGAAATTGAAATTTGTTGAAAGACAACAAGTGTGACATCTTTGTCAAGAGTTTCATTACAACAAAAATTGAATCAAACATGAATGAATCAAGAGTGAAGTTCATGATAAGTATGTGAATAGAATTTTTGGAATGATTACAAATTTTGGATCTAAAGCAAATGTCATGTGTTGTGACATAATTTTTTACTATTTTTCACATTTGTGACCATCAAAAGTATCTGGATTTTAGCTCCATGATTTTGTTCAAATCAAAGTGTCACCCTAGAGCACTTGTGTCAAGACTAGTCAACATAAAGTAATCTTTATAGCATCATAAAATCTGGAAATTTGTGAAGTGGAAGTGGGATAATTTTAGAAATTTTGAATCTATAATCTTTGAATCCGAACTTAGTAATCTTCTAGAATTAAAGATGTCAATATTGTTTTACAGCTTCAAAGCTAATGTATCAAATTATAAATCTTACTTTGAGATCTTAGAGAAAAGATGCATTCATTGAAGTTTTGGTGGGCACGATTGTCAATTGAAATTATTCAGGCTGCATAAGGATAATCTTTTATTGGTTGTAGTATGCATTTCATTCTCTTGTTGCAAAAGAGCGTGAGATTGGATTTGTTGGAGACTGAAACGGTAGATGATAACAAAGGTTAAGCACAAAAGCAATATACTCCAACAAGCTTGACGTCAATTGAATACCTTGGCATATCATGAAATACTCAAGATTCTTGTGATTGGTGTAGGTTGTGATCGGATATTGAGCTCTTTCAAGAAAATGACGTCGCTTTTGAAACGAGTCGATAATGATAAAGAACTCCTTATAATGATAGTAATAGTAATGATTGATTTCAACAGTAGTAAATTTTTGCGAGTGAAATGCTAGAGAATAAAGACAATCACCTTTGTCGGACAATGAAAGTATCGCTCCAAGATTTTAGTCACAAGCATACTTTTCTAGAAAAAACAATTCAAAATTTGATATGCGTTGAAATGTAAGTCGTTGTAAATGTCTTTTTAAGAATTTCAAATGTTTAATCTGCTTTTGCATTTTACTTGAACTTGAATTTCAATTTCTGCGAGTCAATCACATCAATTGAGGAACAATTTTGAAATAGTTTTGAATGAAGATTTCATAGAAGGCTGCAAAACTAAGAAAGCATTATACATTTTGAATAGTATACAAATTTTTTCTATGTGAATCAATCGGATCAATTGAACAACAATCTTGAAATAATTTTAGATGAAAATTTGATATACACTTGCAAAATTGAGTAAGCATTATACTTCTTGAATGGTAGCCAATTTTTTCAATCAATGATTGTTTAGATCTTTTTTTGAAACTTATGTATAGTTACTTTTCAAAAATGATGTAGCCTAAGAATTTGACTTAGATTTGGTGAAAAATGCATTTCTTATATTTGGCATATAGTTTAATAATGCGCAACTTTTTCAATAATAGTTAGACATGATAAATGTGCTCTTCTTCATTTTTGGAAATCACAAGTATGTTGTAGATATAACTTCTACAACATACTGGTGATCTCCAAAACATACAACAAAATTGTTTAGAAATTTTTGTAATATTTTGTTTATCAAGTGTTGGAAGATGATTTATGTTTTGATAAGATCAAAAGTCATGACATTATATTCAAAGGGTCAATATTTAATTCAGAACGTTGTCTTTCATTTGTCATCTTCCTTAATACATATAAGGTTGTACGCGTGATCAATCTTCCGACCATCAACGAATATTTGACCTCCAATACTTGAACTTGTTAAGTAGGTTCAAATTTGAAATATTTTTAGTATGTCTTGTTAAAATATAACAAACTATGGTTTCATATGTTAGTTTTTTTTCTTTCTCATCTATATCCGTATGAATCAATTGTAACCAAGAGAAATATAAAATGAAAGTATTAGAGTGAAAATTAATGATATTGAATACAACAAAACTTTGGTGCTCTTTTATGTCTAAAGATTTAGTTTTGTGAGTAATAATCTATTGACATTTATTATCAAAAATATTATTTTCATAGAATATTACTTTCAAATTATAGGAAAATTATAAACTTTTACAAGATTTTTATAAATAAAACAAGCATAGACATCATAATCTAACCAGGTTTTAACTTGTATGCTATTTGGATGAGAATTTTCTTTAAGCAAAAAATCTAAATAAAAAGTTTAGAGGAGTGTATAGGATTTGATGAATGACAACACTTGTTAGTCGCACGGTAACTAATAAAGCTTCACTCCGTGTCAAAGACAAGACCGACCGTCCTTTTTGTCTAATATTTCTTGTGATGCATTTTTTGTCTCGGATTGGCGATGATTTATTGCGTCAATCTAAATCATAGAGTTGCAGAGAGGTAAGTGTTATAGGGCCCACATTGTGGCGGTAGACAAGCGAGCGAGTAAACGACGATAAATGTGAGTAGGGTTGGAGGCACAGTCAAAAAGTCATGCTCCTGACGAGGGCATAAAGCATGCCTCATTTCCATTTTGTATACGGGACATGCCCGTATCTATATACGTATGAATCATAAATGTAACTTCAAAATATACGTATATTTTGGAGTTATAGATAGTGGAGTAAATGAAGAATTAAAACTATTCAATTGTTTGGCTGCCTCCATCTGGTAAACAACAAACTTACAACGTCTTTGGCAAATTTTCAAAACAAAATCCATCAAACACAACTGTGTGAAATCTTGTTCTACATAAATGACATATTTTATTCTTGGGGTCACAATGAAATTTGTTCTTTCATGAACGTAGACATGCGTTCAACTACGATTCTGTTTCTTCAAAGTGAGTAATGTGGTTCTAAGGGTTTAGTCCAGACTGAGTTTCATAAGTATGTAAAAATTTTGGAAAACTTGAGACTGCAATTACAAGATGTCAAGAAGCGGATTATTTGATATCAGTTCCTTTTAACAGTGGACGCCTTGAAGAAGTTGGACAGTGCGGCTGGAGTACTACTGGACAACGACGTGGAGAAAGATATGTTGCATGTAGGCAATTATCTCAAAAGCCTGCACATAATTCAAGATGACATTGACAAGATTCACCCGCTTGGTCAGGAACTGACCAAGCGGGTGAGTGTCCATCAAATGTACATGGTTTCTATTTTTTTACACTAAGTTCTTCTATGTGCAGAAAAGAAGAGAGGTAGATTAACACCAATTGCATGAAGGGTTTACCTTCGGATTTTGGCCCCTATTTACTGCACTTGATTAGACTGCGTTGACTGGAGTTCAAACATTGCTCTAAGAATCCAATTTACATATTTATCTCGAAGTCTAATTGTCAATACATAGTATAAACATGTTCTTCAGTAAAATAGCATTGTAACAAAGTATCTATATATGCACCAACGCAAATCATATCATGATCATTAACATTGTTATTACATGATAGGGTATCATTTAAGCTAGCTAGATGTTCATCACATAGATCTTCCTATCATAATGTGGATATTGATTGTACATATACATGCTTAAGCACAAATTAAATGTTTGTTTTATGTTCAACACCTTGAGTTTTTTTCTGCTTCTAAAATTAGATGATGGTTTTTTATGCCGTGGTGATTTTGGCTCATTTTTTATTGCTTGTTTCACGAGTGTCGACGTTGTTTAAGAAATTTATATCACAAACATGAGTCAATCAAAAGTATTTACAAGATTACTAAAACTTTGTTTTTTGTCAGATAAAGTTAAATGAATTCTCTAATCTAAAATAAATATCTAGCTTCAATATATAAAAAAATTGATGCCTTTACTTTTACAGTCATCTTTCAATATTTGGTCACATCTGTCACGTAAAGTTAAATGAATTCTCTAATCTAGTATAAATATATGAATTCAATATAGGAAGAATTGGTTGCCGTTACTTTCATCTTTCAATGTTTAATCACATGGTAACTATATTTAATACTTTAGAGTGTGGAGTTGCTATAGAAGTTCTTTACATATAGACTTCATCACCATTGAAACCAGTTGTGAAATTCTTTTGGTGTAGAAGTAAGGTAGCAAAAAGAAGCAGCGTTCAACAAGTTCCAAAATGAAGTCTTGTACTCCATCATTGATTGTAGATTCATTGTCACTTGAACTCGAAGATGAGAGCGGAATAACAACAATCTCATCATCATCACAGCCGACGTCTAGACATGAAATAGAGTTTCCACCGGGATGAAAAAAAGCAGATGAGGTGATAAATCCAAGATGGCATTATTTTTATCGTTTGGTTGAGAAGGGAAGTGAAAATTGCTATCGTGCAATGTGTAAACATTGTAGGGAGTTGTTTGATGACAAGCCTGACAAGTAGAAACATCATGTCTTGCATCGATGTACTTTGAATTTTGAAAGTAGAATTGAGTATATGCGTATCGTAGAAAGATCTTCAAAGAGACAACGGATGTCAATGCAATCATCAGGTTTTGAATCACAACCAGTTTTTTTGCTGCAGCATCAACAACAACGTTTGTCAAAGTTCTTCAATCCGCAATGAATGCAAAATAACAAGAGAATCATCATCTGAGATTATAGACTTCTTGATCTCCTCCAACAGTGACTTCAATGTGTGCACCAACAAGGAACTTGGCTTGTTCATCTGTGATCTCAATCCTAGTTAAATTGTTCCTTCAAGAAAAGTGGTATCTGATAGACTATTACAAAAGAGATATAGTGAGTATTTTCTAGAGCTTGGAGAACAACTCAAGGACATCAGCGATGTGACGCTAACGATGGATGCATGGAAAGATGTTTCGAACAACTCGATCTACGTTATGATTGCCATTACCAACACTAAACAATGAATCTTCAACATAGTACACTTTACAGGTAGGTAAAAAAAATTGCATTGCTACAACAATTATTACTGTCAACTAACAAAAGTTTTCTTCGGTTGACATCAATCGTTGCCTTTGTATCCGACAGTCCAACTACCATTATCAAATTGAGCAGCAATTTGATCAATTTGCATCCAAACATGATTTCTTTGCGTTGCTGTCTTCATCAACTTAATTTGATTACAAAGTATGTGTCAGCTCAGTCCACTATGAAGCAATTGTTCAAGAAGAATTGCAAGATGATCAGCTTTTTTTTACAAATTCTCATTATTGGATACACAACTCAAGTTATGAGGTCGAAAAAACAATATTCTAAAGTTTTTATCAAGTTCCTATGAAACAAAATGGTATTCACCTGTGCTTGTATGTATTGGTGTTACATCATATCACAAAGGTTTTCAACACTGCGTGGACAAGTCAAAATTAGCCAACAAGTCAAGACCGATCAACAATGATATCTCCAACCTGGTGGAGGAAGATTATCACTTTGCAATCAACAAGAAAATTTGCAAGCTCATCAAGCCAATTTTCAACAGTATAGTTCGTCTTGAGCAAAATTTCACAACATTAGATCAAGTCTGTGCCAAGTTGATCAATTTGTACACAACTGTGAAGGACGTGGATGGTACCTTGAACTGCAGCAGCTTCAAGACTCACATTATCAAGACTATCAAAAAGAGAGCTTCTAAATTTGATCATTTATTTTATTTTGTAGCTCTGTTTTTGAATCTTAAGTATCAAGCTGTTGCCATATCGAGGAAGAATACCTACAATGACATTCAAAAAGATATTGCAAATTTTGCAAAATGATAGAATTTCACCAAGATGAATACTATTTCATTGCTAGCAAAATTATATGACTACATCAACCGGAGTGGAGTCTTCATCAACAATTCAAACATGGATTTTCCGATGGATTTTTGGTAGTCTGTTGTTGGTGCAAAAACTTTGCGTTTGTTTACAATGAAACTTCTTCCATCACTCCTCATAATGTCGTAGTGAAGAAATTTTTTTTGCAGCTGTCATTGTCCAAGACAAAAATTTGTAATTGCATGACGGTGAAACGTACAAAAGTGCTTTTCATCGTCAGCTTCAGTCTTAAAGAGCATTCAAAACCCTCTTCAACGTCATCGCAATCATTGGCACTAGATCAAGAGAGTTACTTCAGCATAGTATTTGAAGACAATGAAGATCTTTTTATTAGACCAACGGATGAATTGTTTTTGGAAGATCTGGAGCTTACTTTGGACAATAATGATGACTTTCAGGAAAATTTTGATATGTATTTTGATTTTTCCAAATACCAACTAGAGTCATTTCCAAATGTCACCATGGCTGCAATGAAGAAAGAGGTGGAAATAACAGATGAAGAAGATTGGAGTGTAGATGATTTATTATCATGATATTTTTTGTATTATATCTTCATGGCAAAAGTCAACTCTTAATTATATACGGTGAGATACTCTATAACTCACACATGTTTTCATTTTCAATTTACTAAGTGATTGTTTGGTTTCATTGTTTTGTTTAGTTCAAAATTGTATACTATGAGATGATTATATCAAAGATGGATTATACTTGACATTAGTTTGCACTTTTGATAAACTAAGTGGTTGTTTGATTTCATTGTTTTGTTTAGTTTGATACTCTATTGAGTTGTGTTGTTTGGGATTCTATATTGTGAGATGTACATACTGTTACTGTTGTTTGGGATTCTATATTGTGAGATGTACATACTGTTACTGTTACGCGTGTACATACTACATATTATTTCAAATTTTTGCATGTTCAAAGATTATGGAGTACTAACTCTACTTTGATCTGATTTAGAAACTAGCTTTCATTCAATGTGTTTCTCTTTACTCATGTGAAGTTCATATCCCACCTTTTTTCAAGTTAAGGATTTAGGAAGCTAGGAAGCTCGATTCTCTTACTATTCAAATAGTAAAGCTAAGGAGTATGCAAAGGTGATGTAGGAAACTGAAGACACATCATAGAATAGATTTATCATGTTCAGAAACGTCCAACATGAGTGTTTTTGTTGGCCCCATTATGCGGTAATGATGAGAAACTTCCAAGAAGTTTCGCATGCGAATTCCATTTGGCTGTTATGCAAGCGCCTTCTGCTTTCTTCCGCATGCATGTTTTGGATTGTCTTGCACTTTAACATGTTTCATGATCTGCTTTTTCTTCTACTACGAAATGCAATCCATGTTAGTGCATTCAAGATGACTGCCTATTTCCTTTCCTAGAAGATGACCAGTATGGATCTCGTATAATATTTTCCTACTAGTAATCATCTGTAATTGTTCATGTATTGACGCCAAAAGTGCAAAAAAGTATCTTTGAATCCTGACTATCAGATTTGCAAGAGTATGTGTATGTTTAGTGTTAGAAAGTATCAATTAGTTTTGACTCAATTTTTGAGAAGAAAATGCAAAGTGTTTACTTTAAATACTGTGAATGTGCTCCGCACTAACATTTTAACTTTAATTTTTTCCAAAGGTAGTATTTGTGATGACCTGGTGCATTATGATGTGAATTAATTTGAAAGTAGGTAGTTGCAAGAGATAGCAGTTTGATTACCTTTTGGATATCGCATTGATGTATTAATCACATCTCTAAGTGGATCATTGTTAGAGCTTTGGAAGTGGAAGTAGCGTTCTAGCAATCATGATGATTCTGAAGTCATTTCTGTTTTTAATCTTTCACATGAGTATAGAGTATAAGAATCATAATCATCTTGTTCGTGCTCCATACATAGACGATTCTGATGGAGATCACAAGCAACGAGAGTCAAACAGGTGAGAATATTACTATGAGAATAAAATTTACTTAGTCTACAGCGCACGAGTATCACTCTGTTGCTACAAGAGGTTGCTACAAGAGTTGTAGACACGCGAGTGAAATTGTAGAAGATTCCCGCCTATGTTGTTTGGGGCTCTACACTGTCAGATGTATATACTATTACCATTATGTTTGTACATACTGCATATTCCTTTGAATTCTTGCATGTTCAAAGATTATGAAGTCCTAACTCTACTTCAATATGATTTAGAAACTAGCTCTTATTTTATGTGTTTCTCTTTCCTCATGTGAAGTTTCTATCACAACTTTTTTCAAGTCAAGGATATGATTTCTGGATTTGTTAAGCTTGGGATGCTTCACGCTTCCTATCTTTGATATTTTTTACAGCCCAAGAGAGTATGTTCATCAGTTTTAGTTCAATCTATAAATTTTGGAACACCAGTTTCAGTTGAATTCTGCTTCTGTTTTGTTGACGAGAGCCAAAAGATAGCATAAGAATCATAATCACCCTGTTTGTACTCCATACATAGACGATTCTGATGTATATCACAAGCCACGAGAATAAAACAGGTGAAAACATTCTTGTGGGAATAAAACTTAATGAGTATACAACGTACAAGTATCACTATGTTGCTACAAAAGTTGTAGACACGTGACAGAAAGTGTCGAAGGTTCTCGACTATCTTCTAAAATCTTCTTTACAAACAACCAAACGTCTATGTCGCCTAGATGGCACATTTGAAGAGAAGTTATCCATCCTGTGGGATAATCATGAATGCATGCCTACGTTAAATGCACGGTAGCTGAATGTCAAAAGAATCAATAGTCGCACAATTAGCTTGTACTAACTCAACGGGAATCCTAGTTCGCTCTTGACTCTTCAATGTGATGAAGTCTCCTCATTCAATGTAAAGAGATCTTACCACAAGATTGTACAAGATCAAAGAGTCAAGTCACTGTTAATTGGGGGTTGGGCCCCTAATGAACTGTGACATGACAGTTCATTCACCCATCCTCTATCCATTTCTTTATGCATCATTTTTTTAATTTTTGTGCAGGTGCGAAACTTTTCATGAACTCACGTCTCAGGTCTTAAATATTGTCTATAGCAGTGAAATGTCTGCTTGAACTGAAAACAACACTCAGAATCTCGTGTAGTGATATAATGCATGTGGAAAACTCTCTGGTGTAATGATCTAGTACTTAAACATTGATGTAGTTGTATAGTGCATGCGAAGATCATCTCACAGTATATTGTGTATACTGTGCTACAACCTCCGGGCTGACTCTCACTCCGATTTATCTCATATGGTTTTGTCATAGCTCATCATGGCTCTAAAAGACTAGGATTTTTATTCATACTCGTGTCCCAAATACACTCTCACAAAAAAATCTCTATACATCACTCAATTCACACAAACTCAAACACACGTAGATATTCAAAGATACTGAAGAACCTCACTCTTTCATTCCTAAAACAAGTACTCACACATGACTCTCTAAACTTGCTTGAGAGTTGCTACTCTACCTCTCGAATTATACTATTTGAGAAATTACGATAGTAATATTTGGTAATTTCTATTAACTCACTTTTAACTAGGTAAGTTTAACTAATTCACTGTATGTGACAACATGACATTCGTCTACCTAAAACTTCTAGAAGTTTCAGAAATCCGAGGTTGAGGTGGCCACATGCCATTGGAAGCTTTAAAATTTCTATAATTTTCCTAACCACTGACTCAATATTGCATTTAGTTTAACCAATCGTTTTTCATATATTTAGTCAAACCAATCAAATCCAAACTTATAGTTAAATATCTAATATTATGAAATCTAAAATTTTATAAAAAATAAAATAAAAGTGTTCATTCCGTTTTTCTAGAATTTGATTAATTATTATATCAACTATAGACATTATAACTAAATTTAATCATAACTAATTAAATTTAGATATATCTTGGCTAATCATCATTAATCACATTGTTAATTTAATATATATAATATTCGATATCACAGTGCGATGTTCTATATTATATAGAACATCGTACAGTATACAAATTTATATTATATTATAATTCAATATTTTTATTATATAATAATATCTTTCAATTACAAAATATATAAACACATTATATATTTTATAATTTGAGTAATTCCTTTACTGCTCTAGGCTATTCTTGACTTTGACAAGATTCCTCTCCCTAATTATAATGGAGTTGGCAATAATTAAAATTAGTGTCGATGACTGAGGAGCGCGGCAGTCCCTATCCGGAGCTCAAAATCCGAGTGACATGGCTTGTTCTCGACGCGGAGGCAGAACAATAGTTCTACGGTGGGCATGAATTTGACGGGGACACGGGATCTGCATTTCATGACCTTGTTTTACAGCATTGGCTGCATCCTTGGAACTCGCTGACGGTTGCGCACGATGCGGCAGGCTATGACGTTCCCAGGTTCACCAGAGTGCTCATCGACAGACCCGCTCGCATTCGATCCTGTTGGATTCCTCATCCACGCTATCAGCACTCAGGGTCGAAACTTCCGGACGAAGGATCTGCCCCGGAATGAACTTCGGCCTGGTCCTGGTCTACTTCACGCTGGCTCGACTCCCGCACGCATGTGAAGTCTCTCTTCCGGCCGACATGAATCCCCATAATCTGGCCTGCAAAGAAAGGCCCGGCTCCGCCTCGCCCGAAAAGAGTGTTGCAAGTTTTTCAACCTTGAGTCTAATTCAATCAAACATCAAAATAGATCCAATAGAGCAGAGCCCCAAACATAAGACGACGAGTGAACACCGCGAACATAGATTCACGCCGTTTTGCAAGAAGGGAGCCAATCTTCCATTCTGCGCGTCGAACACGATACTTCAATCAATCCATCCAGATTCTACGAGGGCGAAATCACAGTTTCACGCGATACTTCGACGACCTGCTCTTCGAGCGATGGCGAGGCCGAGCACGATGTTCGTCAGATTGGGCATGAGACGACCGAAGTATCCTTCATGAACAGCAGATTCGAGCCGCGCCATTTTCAATCGTTAACGTGCGCGTGAAGAAGCGTCGAGATTTCGAAACCGTCACTCTCGTCCTGACGCGGAGCCCGTTGCGCGGTTCGAACATGTGGCGGTGGAGCATACGTGGATGAACGGCACTGGCCACGGGCAGCCCCAGCGTCTGCAGCGCACCGACAACGTCTCACGCAAGACGCGCCTCGTCTCGTGCGGCAAGGCTCGGAAGATGAAACGGACGAGGGATGCTCGATGCAGGTGATCCGAAGGGCTTCGGGGTTCGCTCGGGTGACCGGTTGAGTGACGGATTTGGACTCGATGGGCGAGCCGTGTGCGAGGTTGGTGGTGCAGCGACCGGATTGCACCGGTGGAACAGGGGTCATCTACGTCAGGAGTCGATGGTTCGCTTCTCACTTCAATCTGTCGATTTCCGATGGATTGAACGCCTGGACTTGCCAGCGTAAGTCGGCGATTCTGTCGTGCTAATGGATTCTTGCTTATGGGTTTGGATCCGATCGAGGTTGCTGCAGACAACATTCAAGCAGGAACGTGTGACATGAAACTCGTCTGCCTCTGTTTTCTTCTGTCGTGGTGTTTCAGCTTCTCCGGAGGAGGTATCCAGGAAGGCTTTCAGCTGGGATTACACCGTAACGCAGTATCTCGATCAAGCCAAAGAGCACCTTGACCACCAGAATCCTGATTGCACCTACTCTTTCACATCTGTCGGAGACGGCGGGAGAAAGGTATGCGGCAGGCAGGCAGATATTCCCTCATTCTTGGCAATCTCTTCATTCTGATGAGATGAGACCAGACCAGACCTGGTTGACCTTTTCTTTTCTCGCACAGCATGTTTGTAAGCTCTGCTATGACGAATTCCTTGCAGACGAAGTGCGATCAGTTCTCGAGCCAGTTATGGTGTCGGTCGAAGTCGTAACAGTTGCTTGACGACTTTCTGACGTGACCAATTGCTCGCTTGAGGTGGTGATGTAGCTGTCGTGGACTCTGGAGAAGGATGGCGTGCGGCTCGTTGCCCATTGGAAAGCAGAGAAGTCGCTCGATCCGAGAGAAACCACATGCACCATTATGGACTGCCTCATGGAATGGAGCTCAAGACTCAGTGTAAGTTCACATCTCTATGAGGGAGGAAGTGAGCCGTCCACTGACTCTTCTCTAACCTAACTTAGTTCTAGCTATGTGACCCTTTCTCGCCCCCCTGCGTCGTCAGTCGTTTGACGACGCAGTAGCAATCTGAGGCAAGCCTCAGATTGCTGCATCGGACTCGCTCTGCCTTGTGTGATCGCTTTGAAACCTATGCGTCTTTGGTACTTCGTGAAGTCAAATTGCCGGTCAAATGTCTTTGCCGTCCGGGGTACTTTGTGTACTCATGGACATGCGATACGAGGCTCAGTACGAGGACTGAAGCCCTAAACAACCACGTCGTGAATTTACACTTCACAGATTTCTATAAAAGCCTAGACTTGAGCCTCGAGCGGATTTTTATATTTTCTTCGGTGTTAATTTTTGTGTGGAGATGGATCGGGCGCGTCTGTTTATATCCTACCTGGTGAATCTCACCAGCTCGTTGGTCCGTGTCCTAAGCAACGAGGGTCATGGTTCAATCAAGAATCACGCTTAACTTTCGGCTTACGGTGGGTGTAAACATTTTCCAAGCATTGTAGCCACTTTTGAGTTGTATGTCGGTGTCAACATCCGATGAGGTGAATCTAGGCAGGCAGCCTGAACCAGTCTGCTCTTAACAGTAGATGCTGCTCAAAATGTGAAATTGCTGATGTGAGTACGGTGCAAGGCCTGAAGATGTTCCGTGACTGATATGGCTATCATTCTCGTCACTGGACTGTAGTTCTCTATCATTCTCTCACTGGACTTTTTGGAGGTCGAACTTTGTGCCATGCACTGTGGATGGTATGGTACGCCGTTTCAGTTAGCTGGTGAAGTTAATTGACCTGACGCTCGTTGTAGTTATTTTCAAGAGCGTTTGTGAGTTACACAATTGTGACTCAGCGTGTAGTAGTGCTCTATATACCCATGAACTCTTCAGTTGATTTTATTTGAGACTGTATTCACTCCTGTGGGGACGAAATGTGCGGTCTTCCTAAGGCTTCTTTCTACGGTTCGTCGGAAGAGGAGAAGAGCTGGGCTGGAGCTGGCCGTGCGGGAGAATAAGAACACGCTGGATGAAAGCTAGTTCCGTAGGAAGACCGAACAGTATGTATCGTATGGGGTTATACACCGCACCTGTGGTCTTCCTACGGTTTACACCGCAAACGTCGCTGGATGAAAGATAGTTTGTCCAGGGAATCCTCCTTCTCCAGCACCTCGGTCCTGTCGCTTCGTCGATTACTACTACATTTTATACGATATGTCGATGACTTGTTTGTTACATACATCCCAGAGTTTCAGGAATTCTTCTAGTTTTCGCCTCTAGCCATGAGGGACGACGTTGATCCAAGACGGATCTGCGAACACGGGGACATTAACCTTTACTTTCCACGGGGACCATTTTAATTTTCGTGGACTTCGGCGTTTCTGGAAGTGGACCCAAGCTTTTCATTCAGGTGTAGGATAAGCGTCGAGATAGATACTCACTTCCAGGGAACACGAGTTCATCACTCTCCCTCATGTTCTATCCTGATTTTGTTTTCAAGGCTGCACTCTGCATCATCAACCCCCTAGTCGACCATTACTCTCGGAACCAATCCTTTGCATCTGTGTTCATGTTTGCGTGCCGGCTCGTAATTTGTACACTGTCATAATCTGTCCATTCATTCAGTGCATTTCTATGCCATTCGTTGCTCTGCCTCCAGTCTTGCCATGTTTTATCGTCATTCCGTGAATGCACTCTGACATTCACCTGTAGCAAACCTTGCCCTTTGTATGTGGAATTTCAACAACCGCGGTTGTATCTAGACGGTTGTATCTAGGCTTAGCATTTGTACACATGCTAAGCCTCTGCTGTGGTATCTACTTCATTTACTTTGCAGGAGGAGTTGCAGAGCAAGATAAAATCTTTTGAGAACATGAAAGCCGAGGCCACGCGATTGACGGCCCAAACTCAGAAATTCAGGGACCAAAAAATTCAGTTCGAAGATGACATCTATAGGAAGGTGAGAGTAGGCACGTTTTGTAACGTACCAAAAGAAACTTGGGAATTCGTCCAAGCTTCTTTTGGTACAAGCTTTTGACAAGAAAACAAAGTCAGAAGCTTGGATGGAGTTTTGCAACTTGTTAAGTCTCTTTACTGCTTGTCATTAAGATTTATCTCTCTGCCATATATCGATAGAGCCACTGGTTGTATCTGCAGGATCAGTCACTGTGGTTGATCACGTCTAGATTCCATTACTCCGTCTCGCTTTTCTCTTTGAATGAATTAATCATGAAGATTCCTCCGGTGTCTGCAACAGTTTGTAGCTGTATTAAACTCTAAGAAAGCGAAGCTTCGTGAACTCCGAGCTGAGGCTTTGCGAATACCATCTCCTAGCAAGAAAAAAGATAAAGACGACGAAGTGGTAGAGGAAACAGACACTGAAGACGAGCTCGATGAGAGCGACGAGGAAGGTAAAGACAACGAGCTTTCCCAAAAGCGGAGACGACTAGAAAGTACAGCAGCCGAGGTGGAGGAAGCGGCAGCTGCAGACAGCCAAGCAACAGAATTATACCGAGACTCACCGACCGGAGATGAAGTGTCCAGCATCAAGAGGGAATTAGACCAAGAAGCTTCTGCCTCCACCGTCATGACAGACAAAAAACAGGAACCAAAGCATCCAAAGCACGTGACTGCTGAAGCAAGTCCGCCAAAAGTCGGAGCTGAAGCATTAACAGATGCCGCAACTCTACTCGGTGGATCGACTTACACCAGTGCTCCAAGGAGAAGAAGGCGTTAGGCCTTGTATCCTGTTCACGGATGATTTATTCACCATTTACCGAAGAGAAGTGGAGTGACCAAGTGGCGTTTCCAAACAACTTTTCTCTGGGACGGAAGGGTCCAGTCATGCTCATAACGATACATTCGATCGGAGAGCTGCTTCGTTCCACCTGGTCAGCTCTAGCCCTAGAGTGTCGAAGTAAAACCCGCATGTGCAGATCAGACAGTGGACAACTAATGCAAATCTGTAAGCATCCGAAGCAATCACGTGGAGAAACTCGAATCTTAAAGCGCAAGGCGAACGATGAAGGACTGAAGGCTAATTGTCAGAGGAAATGAATCCCTTCGGAGGAGAAATTTATAATGCAAATTGGGCACGAAACAAAGACTGATCGAGATTACCGTCTTCCTGCAAGCGTTAAATGTCGAGAATGGAAGGAAGAGACTTGGTGCAATGAACTATACTTCATTGAGCATCGATACTCAGTTTCATAGTCATGTCTCGTCCAAGGTCAGATCCATGTACATATACATAAAAATACACATATAACCACATATTTTATGAATGATATTCTCTCTCTTACTTGCAGAGAAAATCTCAACATTTTCACCAATATTCGGAACTTGATCCTCTTTTCACGACGTAGTCCTCGAGCGCGTAATGTAAGGAGATGTCAGAGACCACCAGTGGGACCCGGAAGCAAGCGCGCACTGGCAGAGACGCGTCGAGATCGGTGCGATTTGAAGCCGAGAGAGAGAGAGAGCCTCCCCTTAATCTTCGTCCACTCCTCGTCCTTGCGAGACGTCCGACGACGCGACTTACAGAGCCCGACAGGCATGTCAAGCGTTCCCTCGCGTACAGCGCCGACCTTCCCGCAGTTCGAAATGGCGGCTGAACGTTGAGACGCGGGCGGGCGGGCGGGCGGGCGGTTGAACTCAGCTGTTCAAAATGCCTGCTAGGGAGTTTGGGGACACAACTCTCGCTACCGCGTTGAACCATCGACCGTGGTCATAGTACGGTGGAGGGGCGACCGTGCCGGGAAGGTCAGAAACGACCAGGTTGGGATTACGCTTTCCTGATACGACCACTGACGCGGTTGGTGAAGAACAGACGAAAACTAGTGCACGTGGCCGGACGGTGTAGCTCAGCTGCCATGGTAGCTCAGAGATGTGCAGCTGCGCCGCAACTCGAGCAGGGAGTGTTATGTAGAGGTCGGGGGTAGGGTCGGCTCACTGGCTGCGCGCGAGGCGAGCAGCAATGAGATCGGGGGCGAGTGTCACGCTTTCCAAGAATCTCCTTTCCATTCTGTCCCGGAGCGATATGATGAGAGGAGTCGCAGAGGACAGCGGTACGTCTGTGTCTGGCTCGATTTAAAGAAATTGATACTTGAATGCGTACCTACAGTGCGGCGATGAGCGAACCTGATGATGGCTGTTGATGGCGATTTTTGTTCGTCCGGAAGCGACCAATCCACGCCCTGTGCATGCGATTGTGTCCTTTGGAGTTATATTGTTCTGACCGCCAGCCCCACCCCCAGCCCAGCGACACTGTATCTTACATCACTGGGGATGTGATCTTGAGACCGCTTTCTGTCTCCGTTTCGGTTTGCGTGTAATGCGGCACTATCGTCAATGTCGGTAGTACGAGAAAGCAGCGCCTTTTCAGATTAGCGGGTTTAGGATGGAGCGATGGGTCGGTTGCTCACGCGTTACACACCCTCACCTTTCCCCCATCTCTCACGTAGCAATCACTGTAACAACACCTCCGAGTCGCATGCACTAGCAGGACACCGAGCCTCATTATCGCCTCTGTAGGTTTGTACTACGCTGCCATAGTGTTGAGCTTTGCGCATGTTATTCAAATCTTGGCAATGGCTGATGGTCTTAACTTCCAGTGACATTTCCATCTATCCGTCCAAATCATTAGACACAATCCGTAGGGGTGACAGGGCCAGTATTTCAGAATTTCGAGACATTCCCTTAAGGATTCGAGACTCTTTCAAATTTTATTCAACCAAGTGTGCGTCACCTTCAATATTCCTCCCTCAATTACAACTTGTCCGGACGACGATAGAGTGTACACAGTTTTCCTTCATTCCGATCCCTGATTGCTTCTCCGACGCCACATAAAGAGCAACTTTCCTATAGTCAAGGGAATCCAGCGAGGTAATGGTGGCCGATCCGTCCATGTCTGGAGATCGTCCACCTCTCACCTCTAGTGCTGATGTTCATGTCAAACTACAGCACCCAGTTCGAATACGTATCCCTGATGTGCCTTGGACTTCCGTCGCACTACGGCCGGCACACCTACGACTCAAAACTCAATCTTTTCAGAGACAAACTATCCGACTTGAGAGGATCGATATAGCCTGCGTTGGTGACAGCCTACGATCCTCCAATTCTAGTGTATGCAGAATCTACTCACCTGACTCTAGCAGTGGCTGACAGGCCAGTAAACTTCTGATCAAATCCAGATATCTGACACAGTAAATGACAGTAACTCTCTTCGATGCCTACAGAACCCTGAAGTGATAAGTACTCCCACCCTGAGATTCTAAACCATGCAAGAGAAAATAGAATACAAGAGCCGAAGCACCTCGTGTACCATTCAAAGTATAATGATCTATTAACGATACATAAAGCCTGGCGAGAGGATCGGGAAGATGCAGCGCGGTAGTCCTGTAGAACACACATGGCCATCGTTGTCTTACTGAAGATTTGATTTATAAGTTGTGATGTGCATCTAATCAAAGCCTCTCTCACCCAGTTGCTCGTGACAAACAACTAAGTAAGACATCACACAATATCGAGTGACTTGAAGAAACCTCGTCAATCCAATCCATATAAAGCTTAATGACAATTGCCACACCAACTTCAGTTTCTCCTAGTTTCCACTGTCAAACAAAGAATAAGATCCGTGACTACATTCTTAGCAGTCCAATCTACCTTATTATGAAGGATGGGAACAGCTTCGGCCCTCTCAGTAGCCGCAACCCGCTTGGCGACTTCATTTGAGTAGGTCCTTGGAAGTAGATGCCATCTAGATATCTACTGGGATTTAGTCTTCGATGTACGCAAAAGGGCCACTCTCTCCACCATTTGAGCCACTGGCTGGGATCTTCAATATGCGTCACCACTGGCGTATGGGTTCCCCAGTGAGTATCCATGCTTTCTTCTATGATGTCATGAGTTTGTTTCCACAAAAAATGACTGCAAATTTGTCCCAAGCCTCCTAGAGTCCATTCTATCCGACTACCCCAGTTCAAAAATCCTTTTGCACTTACTGAGACATTGTCAAACAGGCTTTCATTCAGTGAAGATAGGAAGCTCTTGACGAGCGCCATCCCAATTTCCAAGAGATGCCCCGACGTTACTAGCTGTCAAGTTGCCAGAAACAACTTCAAAAACTTCAAAGAAAACTGGAAATAAACTCACACAAGACTGTTCGGCCTCGTGTTCCACGAGAACCTGTCCGCAATGTGGTATACGATAACATCTCTTCGTCATCCTCCCATCCAGACAACCACACTAGATAATATTATGACAAGGCAGATGCCTTGCAGATAGGGCACTGGTTCTTCTGTAAAAGCCATTGCTTTATACAAGCAACGTGATAACTGTGCCCACAGTCAATTTTTCCCAAATCATCGCCTTCCTCATATTCTTCCTGCAACATATGAGCAATCGTAAGACTCAATTGCCTTCCCATGACGCATACGTAAGTTATGAAAGGAGGGATCAATTGAGAAAGGCTTTCTTCAACGAGGACAAACCTGGCAAATGCTGCATTTGATGTCACTTTCTTGTGAACAAGAGGATACAGCTACTGCTTGAGAAGAATATTTGCTTCTTTTCAAGCGCTTGTTCACCATGTCTGGATTAAGCCCAGTGCTCACATTGCCTATTCTTTCTTCCAAAGCAAGTAGTTCCTGTGAATTCCCAAAGATTTGACACGTCAGGAAAAACAACCAAGACCGCGTCGATGGGCACAGACAGACAACTAGTTACATCTTCGAAGACCATCGCAGATCGACAACGGCTAGATAAGTGCATCGAATTCCTGGGAGAATTTACAGCGGCTGATAGATGAAGAGATATGACTGAAATCGAATTACCTCGTAAGACATATTGTCAACATCGAGTCGCAAGTCACTATGTTGGTCATGAAGCCCCATACCCCCAAACAGCAACGTGGCCTCCAACATTAACAGTTGCTGCAAGAATATCCAGTTCAAACTGCCATTATTCCTCCTGGCTTGATTTCCAGCGAAATTTCGTCCTTCAGCTCTAAAACCCTCTATCTTGAGAACCTAAAAGCCTCATGGCTAACTTATTCGCCATATCATTCTCATATTGTTTGTGAGAGATAGATACAAGCAGGAAGGTTCGATGACAAGTCATTTAAGAGTTCATAAACCCAAAATCCTCTCACCTCGTAAGTCAGATCTTCATCTCGCTCCACTCGTTCAAGAGCGAGTAAGATCTGGACGCAGATGAAACACACAAGGGTCAATACAACTTCAGACATACTGGAATATCCTCCGAATCACCTATCTGCTAAGAAATAACATCCAAGAAATAACTCATCAGATATATGCATGTTAAGGGTGCTGTTGAAACACCGCAGATGAGCGAAAATGTTTGATCATGGATTTGCGAAAGTGTACAATCGTTCAGTTAATAAACCAGGCCTGAACAGTCTTCGAAGGCAATCATTTCGGCTGATCAATGTGCTGAAGCAAACAGGAAGGCATTGATATCAGTATTTCCAAAGCTGGAGTGACAACACAAACCTCAGCAAGGCCCTCTGCTACTAGTCGAGGTTGGTGCTCTCCATCGGACGGAGATTGTAGGCCTCTGAAAGGCATTCCTAAAAGGCTTTCGGCAGCTGATGCAAGCCCTCTTTCGTTGCGGCTTTCCACTGAAGAAGAAGTTCTTGGCAAGAACGAACTCTGAAAGATGCTGGATCCAGATGGAAGCATCTCCAAGGCCGTTGAAAGGGACGAAGAGACACTTGGAGGAGAGGGAGGAAGTCGAGATGGTGCAGGCCCTGATGATGCTGGTATAAGCATGGGAGCGCTTGAAGAACTGTGACTGTGTCTAGAACGCACAACAGGAGGATGTGGTGGCAGCCTTGAAGGTGAGGGCACCGATGTGACCCCTAGATTCGTCGCTCCTTGCTGCGTACTTTGTGTGCCCTGGCTTTGTGCGGCAGCATTAGCTGGATTGCTGATTGCATCCACAGAACTGTTGCTAAGATTACGAAGCCTTAACCTGCTTTCAGACCCAATTCCTCCAAAAGAACCTGGACTAGATGAGCCTGTTGTCAAGCTCCTAGTATTGCTTCCCAGATACCTGTGCGGCAGCCTCTCTCCCAAGGCAGATGATCCAAAGTGATTGTCATTGCGTCTTGGAGAAGACGTGCTTCCACTCCTGCTACTTGCAACTAAAGGACTTCCACTTCTTCGGCCCCCGCCAGTAGACATCAGCTGCTCAGTTGATCGCACAATAGTGCTCCCACCTGCAGTGGTGAAATCTGTATCAGTGGAACAGTCAGCTAAAATAACTCTTCGAGAGCACCAAGTATCAGGAAGGGCAGGAATTGCCCTTCGCACGGTGCGTGCAAATGGCGGTTGAGACGGCGAAGATAACTGTTCCAAATTTCCTCCGATCGACCCACTACTTCGCATACTCCTTGGCCCCATAGAACCTGCAGAACCACTTCCTATCAAGGATTTCCCCGCCCTTTGAGCCCCGGATTCCACATCTCTGGATGTGGAACCCTTGCGCGAACGCGGTTCATCTAGTGCACTGGCAGAGACTGAGGTTTCGGCGCATCGCCCAGCTGCCACCGACGAGGCCGTGGCCACTACACTGGAAGCGGATGCACATCCTAAATTTCCGCTACTGCGTCTGCCCGTACTACTGCCTCCCATGGTCCTTGTGGCGTAGCCTTCCCGAGAGCCGGACGAGTGAGGGGAAGCACTCCGACAAGAACTAGCGAGCAAACCCGGTGTGCAACTTTTCCTCTTACAAGCTGAACCCCTCGAGCTATTCATCACATTTTTGTAACTAGAAGACGAGTTGGACAGGGAATTCCCTAATATGCCTCCTTTCGAACTTTGGTTTTCTGCACCTTGGGCTCTGTCGACGGACGCTGAGCTAAGGACAAAATGAGAATCACTGCTGCAAGCTGCTTCCTCACCCGATGAGTTGTGACTGCTGCTTGCACCCGCCATAAACGGATCAGACAAAGAGTTGCAAATGCTGCTACTTCCAGGATGAAGAGGTTGGCCGTCAATCCCGTGCCGATCCGTGAGGAGGGAGCTGGTCATAGCTATTCCCTGAGAAGAGTCTCCAATTCGTCCTTCGTCCAATGCACTTCTGTGCGCGTGTGAATGATAAGTTACACTGCTACCTAGTAAAGATGACCTACTTGCCAGGGGCAAGCCTGTGGATCCGCTTCCCCGAGTGGTGCCCAATCTATCACCACCTTGTCCACTCCCTCTGCTGGGGGTGTACTCTTGGCCAACGATGGAATGGCCCGAAATTCGACCCGGGTACAGATCGGAATTCCTGCTGGTGGAGATGCCCGATCTTCCTAGAGAGAAGTCCTGACCGGTGGCAGCTCGACCATGCCCGACAAGAGTGGGCACTTCCGACAGACCAAGTCTTGTGCTCAGACCGATGCCCAAATTTGTGTCTGTATCCATGTTACCTAGCCCAGACTCGTCAATACTTCCTGAAAAACTATGGAGTGCACTCCACTGACCTTGCGCGGCTGTCTCATTATGGGATCGCTGGCTCCTTCGAGCTCCGGAAGAACGAGAAGGAACGACCTTGTGAGACACCTGCGAGGATTTATGCGCGGCAGTTCTGCTACACTCGGGACCCTTGCCGGTGTCTTGACCACACGACCGACCACCTTGCCAGGCCTCATTTGCTTCATCCATTCGATTCAGTCTACTGCTCCCACTGTTGCTGCCACTCCCACTTGCATAGTTGTTGCCACCGAGCTGATAGTGCATATCCGTGGAAGGCCAGCAGGATCCTTGCCTGCCACTCGACGAAATCAATGGAGCCCCCCTTCTCAAATCGGCACTATCTTCCATCTCTTTGGGTGATCTATAATCCGTAGTTGAATTTGATTTCCGTCTTCCCCAACTTGATTCTTGTGAGATCTATCAGCAATCAGCTGTGAAAGCTAGATTGCAATGATCCACAGAAGCACATTCTCGAAAACTTCCCGCCGACCACCTTGAATCTTCGCCACAAGATCTGCACGACACAAACAAAGCAGTTAACCGCGGCCCAAAACGTCGAATTGTCAAAAAGCCACGACTCATCGGGCTAAGCAGAGAAGGCATTCGTGAAACAACAGCCAGGAGTCAGAACAGTCCATCCTGATAGATTGATCTGAGTTGAAAACAACAACGCACATCGGGCAGATGTGCGCAGGCATGTCACGAAATGAAGGCATGTATACCTCTCGATACCCTAATGTTGATGCATAGAGTCGATCAGAGTACCCTAAGAGATGTCTATTAGGTCTCTGAATGCAGGGAGCGTTCTAACCACGTACGCATAGGAATATCGAGAAGCACATCGAGAGGTTCTAGGACCTCGCGATGGAGGACATGGAGCAAACACGTGTGGTACAAGCCAAGACAGCCGTGTAGAAGAGGAAAAACCAAGATGAGATTCCATAGGTCGGCTACCTGCTTCGTGATCCTTGACAAGCACGAAACTTTGTGCCGGACGATGCATTTACGGTAGGCTTTAATGATGATCTTCCAGTGACAATTCGAAGAGGAATTCTCTTTACAGCACGACAAACCAAGAACCAAGACACCTCCCGAGAGATCAAAAGACCATCGAAATTACTCGACACGATCGAAAGCTGCACCGAGATGGTCTCACCAACTAGAGGGCGGATGAGGAAACGCTTAGAGACAGACCAGGCACATCTTCGACGCAGCGACGGGTCATCCCCGACATGGTCCAGGGAAACGGCAACCCACGCCGAGGGCAGTCGCAAGGCCAAGCAAGGGAACGATGGTACTCACACAGAGATGCGTCCAGCCCGGCCCAGCGCGACAATACCTGGGCGATAAAAATCAAACAGCGATGATGATGATGATGATGATGTGAAAAAGAAAAGGAGAGAGGGAGAGAGGGAGAGAAGCGGACAAAACGCTTGACAATTTAGATTTCACAATGCCTTCGATCGACCTACGCGACGACGATAAAGGAAAGGGAAAGGGAAAGGGAAAGGGGCGGGGGCCGGACGCGCAAGGAGGTGATCAGGCTCGGGCACATTGGCACGACGCAGCAATGGGAGGAGGCCCGGCGACGAGCACCACAACACCAACACAACAGAACAGAACGAAACGAATCGGCAGCAGCAGGTACACACCCACAAAAATGAATCCACCACCACGACCACGAGAAAAACGCGACAAAACACACATCCAAGCCACAGGCACCGGACCCCTCAGCCGACCACACGTAGAGCACAAGAGCAAGAGCAAGAGCAAGAGCAGAAGCCAGCGCCAGAGCCAGAGCCAGAGCCGAGCAGCGCAGCGCAGCGCAGAGGAGAGGAGAGGAGAGGAGAGCAGTGCAGACGAGGCGACGACGACGACGAGGTCACGGCCGAAGACGACGGAGGTCTGCAGGGCAAGGGCAGCGGCAGCGGCAGGGGCAGCAGGAGATGGTGCGTGCGTGCGTGCGCTCGAGTCTAGTTCAGTTCAAGTCCTCCACTTTGTGCGCGACCCGTTCGGGCACGCTCCCTCCCCGCGGCCCCCGGCGCCAGGCGCCCGGCCCCCGCCCATGCCGAATAAAAATAAATTCCCATCGATCCATAATTCAATCAATCTCTCGCGAATACCCACAATGCGCACCGAATAAATGATGGCCCGAGGACGGGGCGGGACGGGTCGGGTCGACGCTCGGGCTATAGGACGGGACGGGACGGGTTGGTGGGCAGACAGCACAGGACAGGAGCGGGTGGGCGAGCGGGCGAGCGGGCGGGAAGAAATTCAGTAGCAGCCGCAGCGGCCACGGAGCGAAAGCGGCCGCAATCTTCCGCCAATCCACATCGGCATCGCGAATGCCATTCATCGGCTTCGGGTTCAATCCGCTCCGCTTCCATCCGTCCGACCGACCGACCGAGCGTCCGTCCATCGAAGGTGAAGTGGGGCCCGTCATGGAGCGGAAGGGGGCGAGGCCACGTGTGAGCAGGAGCAGCGGGCTTGGCTGCTGATGTGGATGGTCGTCTGTGTGTCGCGACGACGGAGATGGACGTTCGTCGCACGCGCCATCGGAGCCTGGAGCTCGCGCCACCGTACAAGGGGCTCCCCTATCCGGATAGGCCGGATGGATGTAATACGACAAAGCCTCATCTCATGGTTCGTCTCGTCTCGTCTCGTCTCGTCTCGTCTGTCGCGACCCTCGCGCTCGAGATGCCGCTCCGTGTCAGTCTCAGGTGACTCGACGGGCCGGTCGACTCACTCGCCCGTCGCCGGTCTGTGGCTTCTCGACCTTCCTCCGGACGGTCGCTGGCCACCGATGGAAAGAATAGCCTCGGCCGCCGGCACCACATGCCGGGCTCTCGAGCCCCCCAGCGAGGCAGCCGCAGCCCTCTCGCCAGCCCGCCCGTCCGTCCGCCCGCCCTCCGCGCGCGCGCCTTCGTCCGGCGAGCGAGCCAGCCGGCGCCCGGGGGGTCTAATAACAAGCGGTGGTGCGATTGGGGAAAACTGGAGCGTGTGATGAGAGACGAGATGCGGGGGGCCCACGGTCGCTCGTTGCGAGCTCTTATCCTGGGGAGGGTATGGGGTTCGGGACAGGAGCTCTTGCGGGAGCAGAAAGTGAAGAATCTCGGGGATTGAAGGGAAGGCATGGAAATCGGCTTTTGCTGCATGTGGGCCTGGGCTGCGTAGTGTGTAGAGCGGGGAGGGGGTTGACTGCGGGAGCGATCGGAGAGGTGAATATAACGGGGAGGACACCGATGTCACATCATTTGCATGGAAGCGAGCAGGAGGAGGGGAGTATTTTTATGCTTTCTCGCTAAAAATACAAAACTGCACAGCCAGTTGACAGTTGCCTCGGCGCTCTTTTGTCAGGCTTTTCAAGGGGCTGGTTGACAAGGTGAAGCCCGATGAGGCATCCCTAGACCTTGCTACATCACTTTCCTTTTATTTTACTGGCAAATCTAGTCAAGAATTTATGGACTGACATGGCACCTCTCCCGTGACTCGTCCTCTTCGGGAATGCTCGTTCCCTCTTCGAGCCTTGCTTGAGGCGGTAACGACCCGAACGGACTCAAGATATCAGCGCTCCTCTGCAATGATTTGTAGCTCTCGCCTGCTCTTGAAGCTTCCATGAACAGGAAAAAACTGCGTTTCCGTGCACAACAGCGGTGTGCGCAATGCCACGTAACTTGTAAAGTTTTCCCGGTTCATTTATAATAAAAAGTCTTACTGCGGCCCGATGACGCGAGGTCGAAAAGCAGTGGCAGAGTAGTACTGTCCTACGGTGACCAGCATTCACTTCTCTGGTGGGAAGCTCTTGTTTAAGCTGATTTCCTTCGCCCATGAGTTCACCGTGCTTGACCTAGCCGATCTCTCTGGATCGGCCCACAGCTAGATTGCCTTAGACGGTACCTTTTTCCGTCCTACTTACTCCCGGATCCGCAGTCCACACTCGCCGCTGACGTGTGGTGATTTCCTCACCGCTAGTAAGGTGTTTGTTTGAACATCACAGGAACCGATCCACCGCCCGTTCTGTTGTCGTGCATTTAAATTGACTGATTTGACGGTAGATCTCAATTAGCCCCTACGACATACGCAACAGGAGGGTGACTTTTGTACTCGTCCTTAACCAGAAGATGCTGTTCCTCGAAGTGGTTGCCTCAGGTCTGCTCCAAACCCATGCAGGTCTTTGGGCACGAGGTGGTGAGATACCATGAGAGCAGCCTCATGGTCAAAAACTTTACAACTGTCCCCACCTGTGCCATCGTGTGTACAATCATATAGTAACCAGTTCGAACATTGTGCGACCTTGCACAATGTCCGAACTGCTGAGATCATGACCAATTCAGTCAATAAAGAGCATTTGCACGATAAAACTCTCTGCGGTAATTGTTAATGAAAAGTTGACTTTCTTCTATTCTTCGTGCGGGGATGACAAATCATGTTCCCAAGCTCGGAACTTCGAGGTAAATCTCTGCTGACTCCACAAGATCCTTATCTATTCCAAGCAAGTATACTACTAACACTCGCGATGGGAAATTATGATATATCTTCTCAGTGGAAAATGGGAGGAATATCTAACACGAGTAGCTCGCAAAAACCTTTGTGCTGTAATGTGAAGATCGAAACCTAGAATTGTTTATATATGACCAATCAACGCTAACTACAACTGATAACTCAAGTGCCCTGCTTGAGCTCCACTATGGCCTGTCTTCTGTAGCTCTCCGTTCATAATCCGCAAAAATTTGTTCCGGCCTCCTAACTGCAGCACCGTTAGTGCTCACTCCTCTCTCTTCTTTCACCATTGTCCAAAAGGCAGCAAAATAACGATTCTGGGCAGCATTCCAGCTGAAGAGCATTAGAAGAAAAATCAAACCCAATGGACAAGCTAAACGGACCGAGGAAGTAGAAACCGCAGTTTATACATGGTAGTCAAAGGCGAGCTGAATTCACGGTGTTTAACCTAAGCATCTATCCTTTAAAACTCCGCAATTCCAGACGGCTAATGAGTCCGCCAGTACTTCATTCAAAAAGTTGGGACACACACGTGGGACCAGGAACAGGGTCAGTCTGAGACAATAAGTGCATGCAATTACCAGCTAAGGAGATGCTTGGTTGCCATTTGGCGTCCTCCACTACTAAGACAAGAGACTAGACAGAAACCCGTGGTTCGGAGACCTTACCTGCATCATGGACTTGATATTGGAACTGTATGTCGTCTCGAGGACCTTCTCTCTCTGGCAAAAGCCACATGAAAGTGAGTCCCAGAGGCACAATTACTTCAGACAAAGACTCTAATACTTGGTATAATCCTGTCATGGCCTTAAGACCATCGTATCCGAGCTGAGCAGCAGATATGTTTAGACAAAGTATGCAGTTTCCGATCTCACAGTCACCAGAAGGATGAAAGAAAGCAATTTCCATTGAGGGTTTTATGAACATTATGAGTGAGACCTATGGGGAAGATCCCAAGGTTGCATCAGGTGAAGCTTATTCTCGAACGTAATGTACATACGGCCTGGTACAAGGACTGAGGAAGTGCTGCGTCTTATGACACAAGAAACAGTACTCGAGAGTTCATATTCCATCAGACGTTCAGCATGGTCAAGCAAAGGTAATAGAGAAAGATAACGATGCCATGGAAAAAAAACAATATAAGACAGTGAAAATGTGCAGTACTTTGCTCACCTACAACAGAAATGGAACTGCAGAATAGCATTCAGGTTCAATACAAAACCACTTTTCCAGCAAAAATATTCAAAGAGCTTCAGGAAACACTGAAATCTCATGGAATACGAAAGGACTGCACCTGCAAGACTAAGCCATAATGTCCAGCTATTGTCTTTACATCATCCAGGCTAAGCTCGATTGACAATTCCTGCAAATTCAGTCCGTGTACATATAGCGGAAATTATAATTTTACACAGAAATTGCAGCCTAATCACCTGGAGGTTTGCAAGATCGGAAGACTTCTTAAGCATGACGCAATGACATAAAATGAAAGTAAAGATAGAAAATACACGACGTATAGAATAATGAACTGAGACTTGCTTACATCGTCTGAGGAGCAAGTATGTGCGTCTGCAAAGTGGTACAGAAGAGGTCCAAGGTTGATCCACACCTGTGACAGACATCCACGTAGTTATACACTTTTATGGAAAAGACCAACTACTCTTTGAACACATCAAAACTGCAGTATTCTGCAGACCAGAACCTTGTCCTATTTCAGATACATCAGCAAAATAAACTACAAGATATATAAATCTATCAATCTACAGGATCACGAATGTCAAATGAACGAGAAAACACTTAGGTGTACTCACCCCTCCAGGCTTAAGGATTCGTGCAATTATTTCCAGATACTCTAAGATGTTGTGAGCAGTGTCGATAAAAAAGCAAGTGACTACAGCGTCCCATGCCTCTGTTAACAAAAACAGACATGTTTGTCAGAGTTTCGAGAGTGTTGATCAGTTGAAAATTACCAACTTCACAATCTAGAGCTTCAGTTTTGGAACTAACTACCCACCTTTTTGATCTGGATGACGATAGACTTCAACAAAATCTCCAGCACACATGCTGAAACCTTCAGTTATCTCTGCGCTGTTACAACACAACGACCTGTCAGATTCTACCATCCTCGCAATATTATTTATGACATGTGTTACTAGTTTGACCAGAGACTCACTGGAAACTGATCCGTTGGCGAGTAAAACTTAGCGTTGCTGTCCATTAAATAACACGTAGGGGTTCGGGATAGACTTCTACCTCGCAGGATGAAGGTCTGGAAATCGAACACATCGCAACTGGTGCTCATCTTTGATGGTATTGCAGCTGCTGTGTATCCATGGATATATTTCCCATTCTAAAGCTTCCTGAGTCCTGTTATAGAAATATGTTAATTTAACTTTGCCACTTCAGGTCATCCATTCACTCCCAACTCATATCAATCAAACGCTGAAACAAACTATCACTTTTCGCAAAGAATGAATGCTAGACACACTCAAGTTCTTACCCATTGAGAATGAAACTTGAGCAGATCATCATGTAGTATGAAAACTCATTCCCTTGAGTAACAAATCCTGCGTAAACCCGAATGATGTGTCAATTAAAAACTAAGGCGACGTTATTCTAAATACCAAGCCAATCTACGCGACTAGCCGGGCTTACCCATGGCTGCTGTCTACTGTGCGGGCTACACAAAAGACAAGTAAATTCGATTTGATAATCAAGCGAGTCAATAGACCACCTTTGAATACTTCTGAGGCATATCAGCTCCCTACCTAGCCGGGAAATTTCAAAGGCCAAGCGACCAAGCCCTGCTCCAGGTACTAAGCAAGTAGGTGGCCTGGCCCAACCACAGTGACGATAAAAATGGATCAGAATAGATGGGCACTATCGTCTTTTCACATGTCATACTGTTCAACATTCATGCCTGAAAGGTTATCGAAGGTCATTAGGGCGTGACTGACATGTATGATAAAGCTGATGCGAGGCGTGCTTGTCCATTCAGGTTTTGAGCCTTAACTTACAGGAAAAAACTACTCTTTGACTGTTTGTGAGGTCATCCCTTATAAAGACGCTGAGAGATACTAGATCCAACTCAATGAATCGTAATCAAGTACGTGCTACCAGATCAATGCTACTAGGTAACAAAATTTGATACAGAACTGTACAATACTCTTACTACGGTGAACACCGGTAGGAAATATGTATTGGATGAAGCGCGCATTGACTGCAAAGCACAACAATCACAGAATGTACTCATATTTATATCTTCTGCTCGTACTGCCGAGCATGTTTACAAGCTCTCTTACTCTGTACCAACCTTCTTTGGCTTCGATTCGGAAACCAGTCTTCAAGTTCTTTCAAGATAGGAGTATAACATTCTGCCCGCTCACAAACACCCTGCCATATGTTTTCATTACGTTTTCGTTTGTCAAGGCCGTTTTATTATACTTCTTAATGTTGCATTCAAAATACCGTCCTTTGTGCATAATGTCAATTTTGTCACAGCCCCACTGGAGCAAGTACAGCTATTGTATTTTAGCGTGGTGATTAATGAAATTGTTCAATTTGCAAAAGGTCCCCAAAAAAGGAAAAAACGTCAGACACACCACAAATTCCTCAACGTAAAAAAAGACACCATCCCTGCTGTGCATTGGAGTAACACAGAACTAATTAATCAGATTCCTTATCCCCCAAGTTTACATGGTTGATAACACATATGGGATGAACTGTTACTCTTTACCTCTTCGGACCAGTCTCGTACTATGTTGCGGATGATGCATCGCACCTGTCAGATTGCAAAAATATAAAGATTAGAGACGTCATTTGTATTTCTTCACTGCGAGTACTCAATTCAGTCATGCAGGATCTGGAGCCTTATGAACTATGATTGACGTATCAAAAAAATTATCTTACAAATATGTGGACTGGGAATTGGTAATTATCGAGTAAGTGATTGAAAAGACCTACTGAACAGTAGGCATGACGTATGGTATAAACATAGATACTCAATTATGCTGTGTCATAACCATGTATTCCCTGTCAAATTTGATCTTCTTGAACCTTGACCAAACACAATATGTCCGGGTTCCATCAACATCGGAAAAGAAAACGTCGACACTTTAGGTCTTGTACTTGACGACACGATCAAGTTTATTCACACCTTATCAACATCGGCTGGAGGAACAGGCAGTTGAAAGTTCGGTTGGTACCAAATAGTAGTGTAACCTGTCTGTAGAAACAGAAGCCTTCTTTTAGCCCAGGATTCGTGAGAAACACTCCAATTACAGACTCTAGACTGCCAAAAATAAAATGAGAATAAAATGAAAAATTGGAAGTTGTTCAGGACTGAGTTCAGCCTACAACACAGCATAGTACCTCCATGTCCTCACTGTCATCGATGTGTCCAACATCTGAGGGCAAAGTATCGACATCCCGACCCGTTAAGAGATCTCTCCTATTTACTGCCAACCTATCCGACACAACATCTTTGGCTTGTGAGGTTTCGTCAAAGTCCTGGTGCTCCTTGAAACCGTTTTCACCAGTTTTGACAACGTCATTTAGAGTTGGGCGAATGCTATGTGATGTCAGATGCCTATTGTCAACCCGTCGACCGTCGCCTGATTCTTCTTCAGAGCGCCAGTCTTCATTGGAAATCTCACTGGCTTGTCTCTTATTGCTGCTCCTTGGGTCCATTCGCTCATCATTTCGTTGACAAACAGATGGTTTCTTCATTCCGTCTGACGTAAAAGAGGAAGAGTTATCGATTCCATCGCCAACAGCAAGGTCCTCAGACGGGAAATGTGGTCCTCTCGCATACATATCTGCTTGTAAAGTCCTATTTTCTCCTACTCCGCAGTCTTCAAGGTTTGAAATACTTTGACACTTTTCACCAGCCCCTGAAGTGAAGTCTCCCATTTCGAATGGAGGAGAAAATGCCTGCAAAAGGACCAGGCAACAGAGCATAGAGATGTAAAATGTGAGAATGCCAATCGACAACTACTTTTCAACCACTCCTCTCTGTACAGGCCAATTTTTTGCTTCTATTAAATTATGAAGTGCGGATGACAAAATCTTTAAACCAGAGCAGGAATCATATTGCTGTAAGTACCTGGAGCACGTGGTGTATGAAGAACATGTTTGCTTCCACACAACTGAAAAAATCGCAAACACTCGTTACCTAACATTGTGCCTTTTCAAACCAAAAAGAAAGAAGAGAAAACGAAAACAGGATATATTTGTGCCGAGGTAAACTTATTCTTTAAAATTTTTGATGTGATGCGAATATTCAAAATTATCTAGACAGCTCGACTGCAGCCATAAGATATTTTGACAAAATTTAAAATTACGTAGAAAACTTCTTATGTCCAATAAAAACTTGTGTGCAGAAAAGAGTCAAACCATATAACAAATACGACGGTATCTAAAGTATTTTATAAAATTTACCTTCTAAGTTGTGTATACTTTGAGGGTAGATGCTTTAGGAGAAGCTGCACAGTAGACAGAGCAATCACCAGCAACATCAGCAGCGACAAAGAAGATGAGAAGGAATGCCCAAGGTAACTCAAGGAAACAAATGTGCGACTTTACTATCCAGAACAATCTGTATTTTGCTTTGAACGAACAACATGGTTTTGGGACTCTTGATGGGCTTTTCTTGGTATAGAAACAACTTCTCGGTAAACCTTGCCTTGTGATCAGGTTTGAGTTTGGAATAGGATCTCTCCCATCGCAGAATGTCTTCCTCCCCTGCTGAAGCATAGCTGGCACGCATGCTTTCACATGTAAGCTTTAAAAGTCAAAATTTCCCAGCAAAATCCACCCGAAGCACAACCTTGGCTTTGTCAAAAATTTATAAAGACTAGTGCAGACTTGATTATTATAAGTTCTGAACGAAATTTACGACATGTTTCTGACAGATAAGACATTACAGCTGCATTTGGGAGAAACAAATGATTCGAGCACAAAGTCTCTTCCTGCAACAGGCCAAAATCAGAAAAGAAAATACAACGGCAAAGCTCGAAGTTTGCGACACAGCGATGGAGAATTGACACGGCCAGAAACTGACAACGTCCGCGGCTAAACAATGCTCAAAACAGCTCATCACAAGAATGTCATGCGAGAGTGCACTGCATACTTGAGGTAGGCACTGACGACGCGACGAAGAGCCTGGGCTTCTTGAGCTAAGTCCAATTTGCTCAGCTCACCATCACCACCACCCTCCAATGCCTCCATCTCTCTCTCTCGCTCCTGCTCAATCTCAGGAGCTCCGGGGCCTCCTTCCGCCCGGCCAGCTTTCCAATCTTCTCCGCGACACAACTCTTCGCAAATTCAGCTGTCAAGGCAAGCGATCGATGCCCTTAATAAGAATCGCGACGATCTGCTCGTCGTCACTCTGCCCACGCTCTGAGGCAATCGAGCGTGCGACCGTCCGACGCTTGGTTCCGATGTGGACCCCATCTCACTCCATGGAACTGGCAGGCGCCGAGCAGCTCGACATTTGATTCCATTCCATCCCCTTCCATCCAATTCTCCATTCCCTCCATTCCCTTCCTTCCTTCCTTCCGTGACCCGAACGGCGCACTTTCTCCTCTCATCCATCCATCGGAATTGCGAATCCCATTGCGAATCCTCCTCGCGGTCTCGCGAAAACGATATTTCATGCAGACGGCGTTCCGTGGCTAGCGAAGGTAACTGGATTTACTGCTTTTGTGTATTTTTGAGTTCTTTTATTTCCTAGACCGACGGTATGACATCGCTTCTGGACGAGCCAGGTTGGATTTTCACAAGGGGCTTTGTTGAGGTAAGGAGGCTTTCCGTTTTATCTTATTTTGGTACTTGTGATACATTTTCATTCGTTGACGTGATTTGGTTTCGAGTTGTGCACTGAAATTGGAGGGAAAATAGGGAGTTTACTGACTGCCCGTAGTGGACATTTCTGCAGCCCATATAGTGTACTTCCTTCCATTAAAAACAAAAAAAGATACATATGTTCTTTCAAAACGTAGTTAAATAACAGTACATATATTTTCACTTTTGTTGAACATTTGATACATTTGAAACACTGAGGTTGATCTTGACTTCATGTGAATGACGTGTTTCTTGTTGAGCTCGTATATTCGCGGGTATTCTTGCATGGAAGAAACGAAAATGGCTCAACACGTGAATTTATGGTAAAAAAGGAACCTAAAGAAGTAGAATTTGAAGAGGAATAGGCTGATTTATGATTGCATTATTAAATCCCATGAAACTTGGCTCCACTCACATTTTCAAACGGTCGAACAAGAACAGGCAGACAATAATTCTCAAACAAGTTCACAACACACACAAGTTTTCCGAGTTTTCATTGAGATTCACAAAGATGGAGAAAATAATTTTATTTTGCTCTTTGTGGTGTTTGGTTTGTTACCATGAGGCGGAAAGAGTATTTGGTACATGACAACTTATTTCCGTGTAATCTCGTCCGTGAACCTGCATTGCGCACAACATATACAAACTGAAAGCTTTGGAAATATTAAACCATATTTTTCGTTATATCTATTCAGATAACGTCAAAATCAGAAGTATTTCTTAAGGCTAAATATCCATGCTATTATCTCATTCACGTACACAAGAATGTCACAGTCAGAGCTTCACAATCTCAATCTTCAAAATTGTTTTTAATAGTATATTACTTGTCATATAACTCGGTATTTACTAAAAATAGTGTCGAGCTAGGGTTTTAGGTCGCGGAGTGTATAGGGTCGAAGACGACTCGAAGAACGTTGGATCTTCAAGTCGAGCCTAGCGCGTTGGGAGTAGTGCGAGTAGAGCGACCCGTTAGCGTCGACCTAGAATCTCTTCGAAGTGGGTTGGGCTTGACTTATGTTTGTGACGGTGACGGTTTGCTGCCAGTGGGGTAGTTGAAACTGACGGATTTTTCAGTGAAAAAAGTCACGTTTTATTAGTTATGGTACATTTGAGTGTGTACGCTCTCGCGTCTTATATGTGTGTATGTGTGCGTATGCGTATGTGATAAGTATGTCAGCGATGTAGAATGTGTGACGATATATATTTGCACGACATACTTGATGGGACTATAACTTCACAATCTCAATCTTCAAAGTTTTTCTGAAGAATAAATTACTTGATGGGGTCACGTAATAAAACAATTTACTTAGTGGGATCCTTCAAGTTTCATTTTACTCGATACCCAACTACGGCCACAATCACCCATGTTCTTTTATAGGCCCGATGATGACATTGAGTGTTGATTTCTCATGGACGAGTTGATATGAGTAGGAAAGAGAAACAAAATGCGAGAAATGGCATCTGTCCATCACAAGCGTCCACGCTTGTTGGTCACCAGTGCGGGACCTACTGCGGCCCCGCAGGCAGCGAGAGTACATCAACCAAGGGCGGAGCAAGGAAGCCGAGTCTCTTCCAAGGGTTGTTCTCGACCTTCAACCGAAAACAAACTGACAGCCAACACTGAGGAGTAAGATCTCCAGGCCATCAATAGAGGACCACAATTTCATTCACTCAAAATTTGGAATATTAGAAGAAAGTGTACAACAAGTCTTCCTGAGAGAACTTGCCCAAACCTGATTTGTGCTTGAACACTGGAAGGTTGTTTTCAACTTTCATAAGGTTTCTTTCATCCGCGAACTCCGCTCCACTTTGTTACTCCTCTGCAAGTTGCTACTTGGTGATATTCATTTTCATCTTGGGGTCGATAGAAAAACATGAGTGACATGGCCATAGGTTAGAACGAAACTTGACGGGTCCAGTAAGTATTTAGTTTTACAATGGGGAACCATCAAGTAATTTCCTGGTTTTGAACCACAACAGAAACTTATGAATGAGCATTTCTTATAATTATGTGATACGAAAGATGAGGGAACTCGATTCTCATCTATGCACGTCAGTTTCACAAATGTTAACACAGGCTTCGAAGGTTTTACACATTTTGATGAACCACTCGGACGAGTTCACATGTATCACAATCCAAGAACCAAAAAGATCGGAAACTCGTAAATCTGCGTGCACCAAAAGGACGAGAAAGTGGTTTTACCTAACGACGGGTTTTTATACATATAAACCACTTCGTCCCCGTACAACAAGCGAAAGAGAAAAAGTAAAATAACCATTAAAGCAGCCCAGGCTATATAAATAATATCCATAAAGAAATAACCTTTATTTTGTATCATTTTAACTATCAAAAATGTCTTTATATATATATACCATTACGACCATTCTCATCCCGTCGACCACGAAAGCGCAAACTATATCCACATGATGCGAGGCTACTCGGTAGCGAGTTACCGAGTAGCTAGGCCAAGCTTGCGAGCTTGGCCCGATGCCTTGCCACGTGGCGAGAGGAGGCTGTAGACCCGCCCGCCTGCCAACCTGCGCTTGGAATCTTGGATCCCTCACGCTCTTCTTAGAGGACTCGTGCAACGAGAAAATAGTTTCATTATGGAGAAATTGGATATTGCGGAATTGACGAGGAGATTTCGGGCTTCGGCCACGTCCCGTCCGCGAGGCTACGGTCCTCGATTGCGGGACATGTCGCGTCCGTGACGGTGTTGAGCTGCGGAAGGACGAGAGGGAACAGGAGCTCTTTCCCGAAGAGAGAGAGAGGAAGGGATGGGGAAAGAGAGAGAGCGAGCGAGCGTGGGGTGCGGGGGCTTGGAGGGAGGGAGCGAGCGAAGCGATGGGGTCTCGAATTGAACGTGGATATAGTCAGAAGTTCAGAGCCTTTGGAGAAGAGCAGCACAATAACGAACTCCTTGAAGAATCGCCGGAAGGCTGTGTAGGAATTGCTGCGGGTTGTCATTTAATTCCGACGGGCGAACCTGCAGCAGAGAATCGAGGAGTGAATTTGCCGGTCGGAAGGCAGAAGCGGACAGGTCTGCGGAGGCGTGCGGGACGAGAACAGGATGTGGAGACGCGCGGGTAGGTGACGAAGGCAGTCAGTCATGCATAGCTGGGGCGAGTTAGGGCTTCATTTCCTGAGTGATCTTCGCTGGGACAGGTAGTTTGCAGCCGAGAGCTCGAACGACGGACCGAGTCGTTGTTCTTGAGTCGGGCGAGATCGATTGGAACTACGCCACTGTGTTCTCGGAAGGCGGGGTTGATTCGTTTTGCCCAAGTTATTGGTGACCTCCGGCTTTGTGGTGTTTATTAGTTCGATCGGTCCGTGTGCGTGTTCCGAAGATTTGAGGGTGTACATTAGGCAAGCTACACAACTCACCGTTCATTGTACCAGGCTTTTGCTGGTGATAAGGTCAGCGTCGTAGCTAAGGTTTTTGCTTCTTGAACGCGAGGAGATCCTCGGCGTGGGGACTCGAGGATACGAGGTGAACGAAGGGCGAAGTTAGGGAATTTGCTCGGAATTTGGAATTTCGATGTGAGCAAGCAGCATGAGCGCTGAAGATGGTTTAGAGTGTCCGGTGTGTTGGGAAGGATTCAACGATGCAGAGAACACTCCATACGTGTTGTGGTGCGGCCATTCACTGTGTAAAAACTGCGTCATTGGATTGCAGTGGGCTGTCATTAAATTCCCGGGTTTGCCCCTGCAGCTGCCCCTTTTCATAGCCTGCCCATGGTGTCAGTTCCTCACATGTCGCATAACTTGGAAGGGAAATCTCAAGTACCCTTGCAAAAACTTTTTCCTGCTGTGGATTTTAGAAAGCCTCAGGGGGGACAATGTCAGGCAAAGACCCCATAGTGATTCAATAGAAGGAGCGGTATGTGGCTCTCCAATTCGACCTCCCACGAGCAGCGTCGTGTACGGAGTTCGGCCTCGACAGCTCCGAGTGCCTTCGGAGCACCATCAGAGGTCTGGAACAGCTTACCTCTTGGAAGCCGTGCAGGGAAGTTGGGACATGGCTCATTGGCAGAATCGATTAGCTAGAACTGTTTCATTCTTTGTGCAGTTCACGGCGAAACTGCCCCTAGTCTTCCTCTTCTTATTCATCATCTGCTATGTTCTGCCCTTTAGCACCCTCATTCTTGCAGTTTATTGTGTAGTCACTGTCCTTTTCGCCGTGCCATCCTTCCTGGTGGTTTACTTCTCATTCCCTAGTCTAGATTGGCTTGCCCGTGAAATAGTGACCTGATTATTCGGATCCCGTAGCACTGATCCACTTTTTCAGGTAAGATTTTTCTTGTAGGTGCCCAGTACCAGTAATTATGTGAACCCTAAACCCCAGTGCTTCAGATGAGTGCTTAGTGTAGATCTCACAGAGAAGCAAAAATGAAACCATTAAGAATTGCTGGGTTTCACTATGTTTTTTATTGACATGGTGTTGACATCAGGTAATAAAAGACACCTGGTCCAGTGTCTCCCTGTTGTGTTTGTGCATTTCGCCGAGTACCTGCAGTAAGCATCTCACACAAGATCGCTCTGTCAGGTCGGCAGTGTGTGTATTTTCTCTGTCTGTGTATTCTCACTGCCAAGACTTCTTATCCTAGGCTTGTTTACATATCAAGTCAACCGTAGTCATCTGTGGTTATTATGGTCATAGGTGGCCATTTTGGTCATAGATGGTCATTTTGGGCGCTTCCGTAGTGTATATAATAATTGATTCAATACAAAAATATAACTTGCTTACGAGGGTGAATGCAAGTGCAGCGTGCCTGTGAAGAGAGTGGTTGTTCCGAGTGATATAACTAGCAGTTTCACGTTTCGTCGTGGGATAAATGTGGGAAGAATACATTCAGACGTCAAGTGAAGGCTAGAGTGTCAAAATATAACTCGAGAGAATGCTCTTGGTAATGTAGGTGTCAGGGTAAATGCAATCACATTTTTCTTGTTTGTAACGTCCGGACATGTACATGGTTTGCAAACGTTCGTACGTATTTAAGCAGTACCAACGATCATCGTCAGTTTCATACACCGTCGTTCATGGCCAGTGAGGAAGAGAGTTAATGTCTGCATTATGAAGGCACTCATACGATGTCTTCAGAACGCCGATGTTGGGTACTGCCAATCTCAGATGTGTATTAAACTTCGCACGTATTATAGTTTCACTGAAAAGTATATATTATGGATATATTGTGGAGTAAGTGGATATAATAGGAAGCGGATTGTCATTGTTCATTTAAAGCTACTTCACTTTCACTTTACCATACGCTGGTTTCTTATTGGTCGATGCAAGATAGTCATTTCTCTTATTGGCGAGGTGGTAGTAGCGGGAGGGTAGTAGGGATGCGGTAGCAATTCTAGTGGTAAGGTTAGTTGGCCCTAAGTGAGGGATAATTATCCTCACTCATGTAATATTGTGAGATGATGCTTGCTATACAAGACATGTTGATTTCGTCCATGTGTACAGTACTCCAGTTTCTCAGGCTAAAATGTTTAGATACAGACCGGTAGCTCATGACATGTTCGTGAACAAGTGATAAAAAAATAGGTTATCATCAAACCGCAGCGTGTACACTTGTTGGTTGCGAAACATTGTCATGACAATAAGGAAATTTCTATAGTCTACTGTTCCATGATTTCACCGACGAAATTTCGGATCATTCTAAGCGCAGTTGGAAACATTATCCTCACTCACTTAGATACATACAAGAGTACATACAAATAGATATCTGGTGAATCCACATATTCATAACTCACAATCCGTTTACAGTACATCTCAAACTTCACGGGGATGACCATTTAGAAGGACAAGAGGAAAATACACAGATAGGGTTCTTCATTCGATACTGTTCGTAGCGAAAGCTTAGCTACAAACACTGACTCACAGATGTTCACAACAGGGAGAAAGGAGTTTGAATAATGCAGTTGATAAAGCATCAGATTCAGGCGGATTGGGAAAATTAATCCCTAAGGTGTTTCTCCGTTGAACCTCAATTTTGAATATTGACATCAAAATCTCATTGATAATATTATCCAGCAAAATTGAACATAACATGTGCAACTCAGGTTCCTCTTCAGCACAACCTCAAGGGCAATCAGAGTGTACTACACCATGATGTTCGCGGGAAGCCGTGAAAGACATGTGACTTGTGGAATAAAAAAAGTGGTGTAGGTTGCTACAAAACCCTCGGGCCAGAGGACGGAATTCAATGATGTCCTTTGACAAGCCATCATCTTTCTTCGCTGAAGAGTTCGCCTGCCTGCTCCAGAGTATAAACTTCAATTAACTACTTTCTGTTCGCCAATTCAAATGCGGCTGGGGTACATGAACACCCTGACTTTAGCGCCCTGCAAACGATGGGGGAAAAATAATATGCCGAAATGTCAGGTACATATTAAGACAGCGCTTCGCACAACTGGTATCGGGAAATAAACGCGCTAGGTGTTCCATAACTGTCCGAACAGCCCTACGAAATAAGAGTAATGTTCGATGAGGCAAATGGATTACAGACCAATTTCGAACAAAAAGTAAGCGCACGTACTGACGTTGAGTGATACATATAACGGATGATGAACAGAAAGGCCAGCGAAAAAAAGCATCACCACTTCGAGAGCTACAAAATCACTAACCAGAGAAGCAGGCGGCAGGTTTTTTCTGAACTTGGCGCGGACAACTCCACTGTTACCATGGCACCGGGCAACCTTGCCCCAAATGCAACGGAAAAGGGATCCGTTCTTCTTGGTCTTTCCCTTGTATACATATGCGAGTCTCTTTCCTAAGTACCAGTTCACATCTTCCGCGGTATTGACGCCTTCGATTTGGATCAATGAGGTGCTGGGGTACTGGTTAGACTTAGATCTGCAAGAAAAAAGCAAGTTCAGAAAAGCCAGTGTTTGAACCCGCCCTCTAGAGAGAGGGTGAAGGAGAAATTGGCAAACGGACGTTGGAAATTCATGTCTGCAACGAAAAGAGGAATTCAAAGAAATTCAGGGCTTCGCGATCTACCTCTTGTAGCCGAGGATGATACCCCGAACGTACAACCTGCAGGACAGTGCCAAGTCCTCCAGGTCAGAAACAGAGCGAACAACTTAAATTCATCCCAGCCAGGCAGACAATGGGGAGATGACACAGAGGGCACAATACTGATAATGTCGTCCTTGAGGACGAAGACTGCGAAGCCAATCCTCGTGATATCCACACAGCCGGAAAGAACGTCTTCAATCTCTAAGACTCAGATAACGCTATTTAATCACTCTAGCTCTCATTGGAATTCCACTCCTTAAACCTTCGAACCTCCCCCTCCCGTGAGCCCTGCCTGCACTTTCGAACCCCTCCCGATCCAAACCGCGACTCATCAAGCTCAACCTAATAACCAGTCCCAGAATGTCACGAAATGCCAAGCACCTGACGCGTTCTCCCTTGCGTTCCACCATTGCGCTTGCCGAGCTTCCGTCTCGAAGTGTCCTGAGTATCGTCGACCTGATGCGTGACTCGAGCTCGTGTCGTCGAGCTCTCCTGGAGATTGGAGGCAGAGCGTGAAAGAACTTCGACGTGCGATGTCCCCAGCACAAAACTGCCCTAGCCTGCCCACAAGCCCGGTCCCGGAAACCCTAATTTTGCCGGTCCAGATCTCCTGGATTAACAAGGTACCGAAAACATGGAAATCAGATTCTCGCGCAAAAATGCCATTTTATCTAATTAAATAATAACGGACGGCCACGATCGTCGGAGTTCGAGAGATAGCCGGAGCGGAGTTGGGGGGACACTGTAATTTAGAGGGGCCGCTAAAATGGAAGGCTCTAAGGTTTCCGCCGAGGTCTCCCTCCTCTTGCTTTCGAGAAAATTAGCGTGGCTTGCCACGAGGCCCGCGACTGTGTCGACTCTCGATCCAGTTTAGCGACGATTCCAAGTTCGTGCCGCGGCTCTAGGTTTGTACACTTCGCTCGCTCGCTCTCAGGGGCGCAGGAAATTCCCGAAATCTTCGATTTGGTGCTGGACGAGCTCGAGCTCTCTTCGTGCTTCTCGAGAGTGCGAGAATGTCTCAAGAGGAGGAGAATGTTGCGAGTGACAGCGACGGGCCTCCCGAGCAAAATCAAAATGAAGACGACGAAGGGGGCGTCATTTTTATTCTGGAGAAAGCTTCTTTGGAGGCCGGCAAAGTCGGCAAGGTATTGCGCGAATTGAAGCGTTCTGGTTCTGCTGATTTGAAGGATGTGGACGCACTACAATTGCGATAGGGGTTATGGCAATTTGATACGCTCTCAATCTTGGTTTATGTGAAATGTCGTGTGACGAACTGCGGTTTTATGAACCATGCGCTTGCACGCAATCTTTCGAAGACTGACGTGATCAGTGTTCTGGATGGCCACCTGTTATAGAATTATCAACTTTTGAACTGTGACGACCATGGGAACTTTCTCCGGAAGCACAAGCGCGATCCTGCACAGTATCGCCCCGATATTGTCCATCAGGTCCCCAGTTCAACCGAGCTCCCGTCTGTCAGGGTTTTGTCTTAAGCTTTTGCTGCAGTACCTGGCACTATAATCGTCCGAATCTCTCCTTGGAGTTGTGAACGCATTCTCGTGGAGGTGAAAGAAGTAAATTATAGTTGTAGTCGGACTTTCGAAATCTGAACCCGTGGTGTCTTTGATTAATGTGGGTGTTGCAGGCACTACTTGCGATTCTCGACAGTCCACTTAATAAAGCCGGCCGATTGAAAGCCCTCTATGTGAAGACGGACAAGAATGTGCTGATTCAGGTCAATCCGCACATTCGCATACCACGTACCTTCAAGCGCTTCTGCGGTCTCATGGGTATGCATTTAGTCGTAGCCGCAACCTATTTTGTACATACGTTGATAACATTCGCCAACCTGATAATAAACTCTAATGAGAAAGCAGGGGACTTCAAAAGTATACATTTTCATAGACTTTATGATCGTTGAATCTTAAAATTGAGCTGCTGTATTGGACTCCTGGACGCAGCCGCGCACGCTTGTGTGTTTCTGATCGTTGTGCTTCCTACGACATTGTAATTTACTTAATGCTGTTCACTCGAGCTTGAGTGTTGTTTTTTCGAGACTGACGCTGGATAACATTTTCGTTGTCACAGTCCAGCTTCTTCAAAAATTAAGCATTCGGGCAACAAATGGAAGCGATAAATTATTGCGAGTTGTGAAGCAGCCAGTCACTAGGCATCTTCCTGTTGGTGCCAGACGAGTAGGTAAGCTGGAATCTTAGATACCTATGTTCTGCAACCACACCTTTTACACAAAGGTCCTTCACATCGGTGCCAATGTGGTGTTTTCTGACCAGTGTGTTTTCATGCACTCCTTAGCGTTGAAGATGTTCATTTTAAGTAACAAAGTCCTCAAACTCAAATTTCTCTTAGGTTGAATTCGTGAAATCTGGGATGGACTAGAGGAAGCATCATCGTGTTTAATCACTGATGGAGTTTTACAGCTGTATTTTCTGCGTGTGCGAATTATAACCTTCACCATTTCATGTATGCAGGGATGTCATTCAGTGCGCCTAAGGTTGTACAGTTGAAAGATTACGTGGCTGCTGCTGGACTTAAGAGCACCACCATATTTGTTGTAAGTTTATAAATCTTGCCCGGAGCTATCAGTGTTTTCGACACAAAGAGGCCAATGAGTAGAAATCCTGTTCGTCGGGACATCGGTTGCCGGTTGCGTGTGGGACGCCTTCTCTCTACACGGCAGTCTTGTCTTTCAAGCTGCAATGTATAGGGTTTTCACTTCGCTGGATGTTACCTTGGCAGGTTGGGGCCATGGCCCACGGCAAAATAGAAGCTGACTATCTGGACGACTTCGTTGCCGGTACGTTAAAACATCTTTCCCGTAGTTTTCGTTATATGGCTCCAGGTCTAGGAATGTACCGCCTGTAGTGAAGTCCTGCGGTCAACTCTCCACTGCCGAACGGATGATTCATTAAAGATCTTCGTCTTCTATAACCTGAAACCAACGGTGAAGAGTCACTATTAGGCCTTAGTCAAGTGATCAATGGTTAGTTGTCGTTTAGTCTACACAGCGTGTCAGATCTTCTCCTGTGTTGTTATCGTGCTCTCTTTATCTCTTTTGTAACCGTCGTATTTGCTTTCATACCACTCGTTCTCCTTGTTCGAATAATAGTTTATTGGTGATTTTTTCTGACTATTTGGCTGAGTCCTTTCACAGCTCTCGGCTATAAAAGCAGGTCTCAACTTTTTAGAGTCGACTTTGACTTATGCCTAGTGTTATTTGGCCTGAACGATTTCTCTGTCTTTCCATGTGCAGTCTCGGAGTTTCCCTTGAGTGCAGCTTGTTGCATTGGACGAATTTGTAATGCCTTGGAGCTTCAATGGGGTATACTGTGAGGTCCGGAAAGTAATTTAGGAGTAAATCAATTTTGTAACGATGTTGAGTTAGGATCTTAGTCGTCACCACGCAATTGTTGAAAGTGGAATGAGAAAGAATGTTGGAATGCTCAACGAGTTATGGCATAAGAATGCCAATTATAACGTCAAAGCCCACACAAGACCGCTCTTGCTTGTGCTCGTAAGGTAATCATCTGCCTGGCGTTCAGTTTTCTGGGAAGAAAAATTCAATGCCAACCTGGCAGGTGGCAGGTGGGATCACTGAGGTCGAGTTGTTAGTACATTACGTAGGCCTGAGATCTCTGTATATTTTAGCAGTTCACAATTCTTATTATAGGTGCATGCTTCACAGCCCAGTCTAGGCATTTAGGCTTGCAGGTGGTTCAAGAATCAACTATGTAGCCGACCACTTGGGAGAACATTCCGAAGTATGTGGTGTGGTTTATTGAACATGTCAGCGTTGGATCGGTGGCAAAGGGAGTGAAGCTTCTAATAAAGCGGAAAAAAAGTTCACCTCATAAAAAAGTGCATATAACCCGTGGATGATGGTTATCTTGATCTCCTCTTCAGCAGTACCATACTTAAACATGGGACGTCCAATTGTTTCTGTTTTTTTCATTTTTGGGATCTCCTCCTATTGGGACACGAACCTGGTTCCGTGACTAAGGCTACCTGGCTTGAGCGGACTGATTGTTTGACCAAGTGTGAGTTAAAGTGTCAAAGGAAACAAAGGATATCTTTCAGATGCTCTTTCCTTTTGATACATGCTTGGCCATGGTAGGAACGAATCTCAGGCTTGACTTACTGACGGTGTGACGACATCATTTGTGTCCACTAAGAAAGGACTCAATCTTCCTTACGGGAAGAAATTATCCGGCTGTCCGGGATTGAAACTGAGGCCAAAAGCCTATGTCACTGACGCTATTTCGACGTGTACCGATGATGTACTGACGATATTCTGGTTTCCCAGTTTAGTTGGTCATTTACGGACCCCATTCTACACCCTTGTAATGAACTTGGACCTACTTTGGATAGCAGCACTTGCACTTGCAGTCTGTATTATCTTGTCATCTTCTTCTGGGGTATTTGACCGGAAAGATGATGAAATATACTTCTGGTTAAGCAATGTAGCCACACTTAGTTTTTTGGCTTCACGTCAATCAGATGTTGTCAGTCCGCTTTGAGAATAAAGGTGAATTGTCTGCAGTTCTACCGTGTCGCGACATCAGCTGTCTGGAGAATAAAGTAGAATTGTGTATAACATGAACACTTATGTGTCTCATGCCATAGCGCTGGAGAATTTATCCATGACGTGTCGAGGTCGAAAGTAGACGCCGCAACCGACCATTTGCGGTACATCCATAGTTGGTGTGTGAAGACAAACTTTGACTTCCTAACATGCTACATTGTTAATGTCAAAAACGTTAGTGAGGCTTGTCAAAGGTTAGACCGACAAAGCTAGTATGTACATGGGAGTATATCTCTCAGTGTGTGTTGATTATCCCTCACCCTAATTGTTTGTTAGGACAACCAGTTTGTACAAACGTGACACAAAAAATGGAGCACTTTGATAATTCCATTTTTCTTATTATCAATCTTGCGTTTGTGATTAATCACCATGTTATAATCTTGAGTCAACCTAAAAGTCTACCGCAGCGGAACAAGCTTGTTCATTTTAAATTAAGATATCTCTGACCAATCATATATTTTCAAATAATTTTTGAAAGGTGAGATAATTAACATTATCTGATGAGTAACAAATCGCTCTCATGTATATATATATATATATACTAATATGAACTTAAGACCATGATGTATCTTTCACATAGTTCCGCGTGTAGTTTGCAATAATGATCCAGTCAAGCAATCGGAAATGTGTCGAGACCCATCTATTCCAGAAAGTCCAAACACTTGCGACAGACACTGATACCCCTCATTTACATCCATACGAACACCACTAACTCTCACTTGACGTCAGTTTGCAACTTTTCAAATGTTGGAAAGTTTGTGGCCAAAACTTCGTTTCCCATCTCTCCTCTTCACTAAGTTACACTTCGATTTGTATACATTGCAGGTATATTCACACTCATTTGATTTTGTTTTGAGTGTAATCGAGGTCGCAACCGTTTCACTGAAGTCGTTGTTATGGCGATTGCTTTCGTTTGAGCCTTCATCGCAAATTTGCGACAAGAGGGGAATTTCCTGCGGACGCGACTGAACGTGATCCCCATTGTATGGCATTTGGCAACGACAGCTTGTGCATCAGCGACAGCCTCCGACTCCGTCTCAGATGTCCCGCAACCAGACTGATTTACCGAAAATGACAAAATCCGAACGAACTTGGAATTTGTGAACAAACTTGGGACAATCTTGTGATGGCTTCAGAGGTGCGAGGAAAGAATACACATTGCGCGATTGTGAAAAATGTTCACATGCGTTTCTCCCTATTAAGCAGCAGCATCATCGTCGAGAACAGCCTTTCTAGAAACCGAACGAGACAGATTTGGACGAAGAGGATACAGTTTCATCTCAAGTGGTCGAATGCCGAAACCATTTGTTTAGAAAAGCCGAGAGCTGAAGTCCATCGCGAGTGAGAGCAAACCAGCGGCAGGCAGTCCCAAACCCTGACAAACTCGCTGGTTCGCGGAAGCTCAATACCAGCACTCCGCGATCTAAGAATCGAATGCCTGCCGTCAGCACATTCTTTTTAGTCCAAGTTTAGTTTCCTCCCAATCATCTCTCAGTCGACGACCGAGGTAATGTCGAGCAATTTCCGAAGAAGGAGGAATCTTCAGCCAAACCTCCGGATAAACCCTGACACATATACAAAAGCCCCAAGGATTCCCACTGGAGGTAGATAGGATTGACCGTGTCTCTACTCGCCACTCCTTCACGTCCCTTCCCTGCCAAGAATCAAGCGTCACTAGCATTGGGCCCAAGTGCTTTGGATCACGATCTGCTCGAATTGCAATAGCAAATCTAGATCGTGCAGCGTTCCTGCTCGAATAATATTATCCAAGACTTTTTCACGAACGACGAAGCAGTGCGCACTAGTTCGTCGTTCGTGCAAGTCTTTCATTCTTCGGAGAGTTCTCTTGAGTTACGCGATCTTCTAACACTTGCAGCACTAGCCTTCGATGGTCTCCGGTTGGTCTGCGGTTGCCATCTTCGCAAGGCAACTGACCCTCAACTGCTATCTGAAGAACCCTGAAGCTCTCGTCGAATCTCTTGAATACTTTTTTGGATCCAGATGTACATATACAGACCGATTTTCAAGTCTGATCGTTTGAAGCCCGCGCTTTGTTTCGCTTTTGGCTTTTCTCGTTTCAAGGCTCATAATTTAAGAACGTCTGCATATTCTTGAGATCCCCATGATGGATATCTAACAGGTTCGTTATTAGATGTGTAACAAAATGACAATCTCGTGAAATACTTTTAGAGGAGTTGGATAACCATCTTCATGTATGGGCAATGAGTGGATTTAGCCCAGATGTAAATATACGAGTAAGAGACTTTATCTTTGGATTATGTTAACGTTGAAATTATCTGGAAGTATGATTGTAAACATCTACATACTGGTGACCATGTTAATGAAACTTTGTCATATGTGTTACTGATGTGATTGTCTCTTATTTCTATTAGTTATATTCAAACCAATGTCTTTCCATTAGTTTACAAGACTAGTAACTATTGATAAAGATAAGAGAACAATCACGTACATAATTAGATATTTCTGATATTAATAGACTGAAAATAACTTACTAACTAACTATACATATATATATTGTAGTCCTTATTTCTCATTTTTATACCAGTTATATCTAACCTTTTTAAATCCGTTCTTTATAGGGATCTGCATATTAAATTGCTCCTTCTTTCTCTTGGGACTGCATCAAAATGGACGAAATATATTGTTCAAGACAACTACAATAATCTTTTCATTGTAAATTATAACCACTTGAAAAAACACATTATTTCAAACTGTCACATTTTAAACATCTCTTGATTTCCAATTCGATACGAGAGGTTTCCTCGTGCATAAAATATCTTCAAATCAAAACAATTTGTAGAATTCTTGACAAACAGGGTGCATTCTTCCGATGTGCGGACCATCGATGGGCGTCTATTTTATTAGAAAACTCTTTCTTGAATTAAAAATTCAAAGCCCCGTCCACGAAAAATTTACTTTATTACCCTGGCATTGTAAGATGGATTACATACAACAACTGCTCTAAGTGCCAAGGATCCTTTGCCGTATGTATGTATGCATTTGTATAATTATGTATATACAAGAGCTTACCTGTAATGTGAAAGTGAATGTGAGTGATTAAGATGAACAGTTGGCCAGGTTGAAAAATCTGTGAGTTTCTGTATCATCACAAGAAACTCAAAAGATAAATTTATGAGAATAATCTTGCATACTATAGATTTTATAATAAATGAATATTTTTTTTGCTTTATAATTGCATAGGCAAGCACAGTAGAAGATAAAGTTATACTCTACATTCATCTCAAGGATGTGAATACAAGTATAAGAAATAAAAACATTTCGTGTACATGTGTAGCTACGCAGAAACAGTTTTTTTATATTTATATTTGGCATAATTTACATTTATATCTGATAAATATAAATTAAAATCACTAAATAAATTTTAAATATGTCATAAAGCAAAAATTAGCTTGGCATACAGTCAGATAGATTTGACTATAAGCAGCTTCTTTCTAATCCGTATATACACATTGGACGAGATTTATGTATCTATTTTGATGTACCTAGAGTGTCACAAATCTTTACATTCACTCTTAGTGAATTTGTACCTGTATCTTTATATTATGCAAGAGACATGTGATTCCTTAAGGTTTGACATGAGGTCTCACCTTTCTTATTTGTGCATTTTAAACTAGACTTATATATCTATTTTATGTACCAATAGTTTTACTAAGTTAAACATTCCCTTCTAGTGGATTCATTCATACCTTGTTTTCGAAAAGTTTGCTTACACTCTTGCGAAAATTATAGTAGCTTCAATTGACATGCTGTAAGATATTTTGGCTTGTATCATTTACTTTTCCACAATGACGAGGTCATGTTTAGGTTTAATTTTTTCACTCGCATTTTTTAATCATGTGTGAAACTGATATACTTTATAAGCAATAACAGCTTACATAGATTCCTTTTTGAAGTGCATGTGAAAGCTACTCATATTGCAATTAAAAATATGGTATTTGCGATGACGTTTCAGGATGACTAATTCAAATGGAAAAAAATGTGATATGTGTTGCAATCTACGACAACTAGATTAGATATCTAGTTCATACTTGATTGGAGATAACTAAGGTGTGGACGCAGATGTAATGACTATGGATACTACACTTGAAAGAATTTTGAAGTGAATAAACACCCATCTTTCTAAATGGTCAACAAGTATGATGATATCAATCAAGATGTCAAAATACGTGAACATGTTTTGAAAACATTTTGGTTTTTCTTAGCATTGGATTTATATCGAGCTACGGATGTTGAATTTGACATAAAAGCGAAAAGATGTATGAAACACTCTCACACCATGCCTCAAGAGGTATTAATTTCTCCGTCAACTGGCAAAGTATTTCGACATTATTTATTCATTATTCCATACAAAACACGTGTCAATCCTATATATTTTATAACAATATGCTCTATGATGTGACATTGATATGATATGCTTTTACAATTTGTGAATCATTTGATCTAGGAGAAGCTAGAAAATCCACATTCCATCCAAGTTATTTTTTCATTATTTTTCTGTACATCATAGCCCTCAAATTTTCTACTTGATGGATATTACCAGCATTTTTTACTTTCAATGGAACTTACCTCTATATCTTATCTAAAAATTATCTATTATCTCACCTGAAAGATCAACTACTATATTTCTATCCGTGATAGTAATGAATTTTCCCATTAAGTTTAAAATTAGTCGAACATAAAATTTTCAAATATCCTGGATGCAGTAGTAAATATTTTTGTGTAATCTCAATTTACACGATGAGTTTTTTTCATTGTTTGAAACGATGGATAGTAAGAAGTTTTATTTCTCTACATGATTATTCCATACTATCCATTGTAACTTGTACATTCTCGCAGGCTACTTGCACCACTATCTCTAACCCGCACGTGTTTTGTGATCAGGGTTGCAAGCTTAATGCCATATCATGTGCAGGCTTGCAGCGATAATTCAGATATGTGGATGTCTTCACACTCAGGTCCGACGAATTTTCTGAACATGGCTCAAGGTACCTATATAACTTAAGTTATATAGTTACCATGGTTCATTTTGGTCTAATTTACTTTCTTGATAAAGCCTAGTTTTTACCATGTTCTAGTACAGTACATGGAATTGATACGGAATGTCGGATAAATTAGTGACCACCAATTCCTTTTGCTGTCAGCGTGGCTTTGAAGACAGGAAGAAAATATCAGACTTAGAGGACTATTAAGAATTTCCATTCAGAAATCTTCCAACGCACCATTCAGAGCTCGACTTTTCTTAAGAACATCTTGTGAGTAGAAAATGTCCTCCCGGTGTAAGTCGAGAGAAAGCTGAGGCTCACATATATACGTCGGCACAAAGCATGCTAATGTGAGTAATTCAGCTCGGATTTTCAAATTGATATCCATCAATACGCAAAGGGCTATTCCTCTGTACTTGTGTGAAAAATATAATAAAACTACACTTAAGTGTGTGCGTCCCAAAGATTATTATTCTTGTTACTCGACTATACAGATTTGTATCCAAATTGTATTTGAAAGAACCAGTAACAAAAACTTGCATGTGATATTTTGCACTACATTATTACTTCTGCAGTGCAAAATTGCAAAACTGTCGAAGTTGAAACTAGTAATCAACGTGTTATCCGTCAAGTTCCACTTGTGAGTTATAGCCATTTGCGAGAAGCTATTATATTGTGGGCACACCTTTTCTATAAGCTTAAATATAGATGATAAATTTGAAACATTCTCATGCATTTTTAGCTTCACTGGAAAAACTTTTAAATGTCTTCACAAAAGTTAAAACAAAAATCTTATTTCTCAGTTTTCGTAAGCAACTCATAATCCAATAATGAAAATATTTAAGACACATGCAGGTACAAAATTTGATCACTAAATTTTTAAGAATAAAAATTTCCATGTATAGTTAAGTTCGATATAATATATGTTATACTTTTTATTTTTAATGTAATCTTAGAAAAAAGAATTATTGTACAAAATTAGTTGTATTTTGTATAAGATTGATCGACTTTTTCCGGGTTGGATTATTATCAATCAAAATATATATGGATAAAAATTTTCACTAAACTTGAGTGGTAATTGAAGTTATTCGAAAATTTTATATTTAAAATATTACTAGGAATATCTTCAATTTTCATAAAAATATGTACTACGTTGGCAACATACATTGAAAAATATAAATCTTGAAAAGGTATTATTTTATATTTTATTTATCATATATTGCAATCTGTTCCTGATCAATTTCACTGTTTCTGCATGGCATTGAATATTATTTGAGTGATGTAAAATGGAGTTGGCATGTGTACATAGTTAAGATGAATTTGGAATATTTGTTCGTCCCTGCAGTGTTAAGGTATATCGATTGCAATATTTTGTGTAAAGACCATGTTTTTAATGCTTGTGGATTGAAATCTTCTTATCCATAAAAAATTTCGTTCTTAAGTATTATGACTGACTTTATTCCTCGTGTATGAGTGAAATTTTTTCATAATCCTTCTTTCATAATTCCTCAAGAAAAATATTATTCTTCACATCAGCTCCTCTCCCAGTATTAATAAAGTGCACTTGAAGGAAACATTATGATCTATATAATCCACACAGTTCACTTTGTTTACGCGTCAGTATCAGTATAGAAACCTGGAAAGACATGAAATGATTTGAAGCACTGTATAGACATCGATGAAAACAATGAACGGGAGACGCCTGGAACGAATCGCGCATTAAAAGGCAAAAGAAGTCAAGAAAGTGAGGTAACCTTTCACTTGATAAATCACAATCTGATCCAATGGACACAATTCGAAGGACACCAGGCAATATACGTCTTACGTAGCTGCTGACAACTACGGCCCAAGGACCGCAGCCCCCGCCAACAACCCGCGCCCGGCGCAGACTCGACGTGAGCTCAGATTCGATTCCCTTCAGACGCATGCACACTGCCTTCCTTATCGATCACGTGCACGATCCACTGCCACCGGGAACTGTCATATATGTACCCCTGCACCCATATTCTTGCCACCATGTGTGCTCATATGCATCATTCAGGTGGCTTCCATAACTGCACTGCCCTATCAACACCTTTTGGAAAGAGCAGAACTCAAGTCAAACCATCGCAGTTTCATCTCTCGTATGAGCAGACGAAGTCAAATAATCTATTTACTTCAAATATGATATTTTATACGTTCTCTTTCTTGGGTGGGACATCTAGTACCTGTTTCTTCACCTACTTGGCAGCTTTCTGATGGTGGAAAAGTTTATGGACAGGAATTCAACGCTGCTGCAGGTACTGTGGAGGACTGCTGAAAAAAGGAGTTTTTTCTCTACCATAAACTCCTGATCGTAAGGTTCCCACTTACGTACTTTTTCTGATACATGCCTTTATCTTATACATGCCGGTGAGCGGAATTTTGTATTTCCGCGTCTTGATACCCTGTCTTCTTAAATGTCCGTGAGACTGTATCATAGAGGATTGAACTGCAACAGAGCTAGTTAGGAGTTATGCGACAGATGTCACACTGGATGGGCCGATATATGCTTGCGTGGTTTACGATGACTGCTTTCATCGTGGTGAGTGTTCTGAAGGTGAGATACTGGCTTAACTGTCGACCAGGTTGACATGTTTGAATAATTGAATGTAGCTTTTCTTTTGATGATGTTAATAAGTGACGAGGTTCAAGTGTACCTGTGATTTTGACCGACATTCGTGGGGTTTGTGGTGTATACTCATCTCGTGTCCATTGCAACCACAAGTTTCCGAAGGCACTATCTGGAGATGGAGGCATTGGTTTTTATCTTCTGGGTGCCATGTAAACCGCCGGTGTTCATGCACTCTTCTTTGCAGAGCAGGATGTGTACCGGCCTCTGGAGTCCCCATTCAAGGGTCGGGTACTGGTATGCAAGATTAGAAAAGTGTGCTGGTCCGACCGGAGAAGCTCAGTGCTGCCTGATTGGAGCAAGAATCGGAAAATCCAACATCGATTTGGAACCTCGCCTGCTTCGTGCACTCCTTAGAATGTAACAATTCCATGATACAATGAGGATACAGACATGTTTCACAGCATTGCTGTTCGAGAATTTGTTATATTTGAACCGTGCGAACGGAACAGCATTCTGCTGGTATGGGTAGATCTGATGTTGCAACTAGTGTAGATCTATTACCCGTGATTTGTCTCACGTATGTTCTTATGATTCCTGCTAGCGATGAATAATACTAGAATGTGACCTCGTGTAAATTACGGTGCCTTATAATTTTCAATGGTGCTGTACCGTGCAAGAGTCGAAGCAGATTTAGGATTTAGAATGCCCTGTATAAGAAATTCTTCCCAATCATCTCATAATGGTACAAGATCGATCAGTGCAAAAGCTCGCTCGATGTCGTGATCTGCTGGCTAGAAGTCCTCTTGTGTGTCGAGTACAAAATTTCGCTCCACCATCGACCATTATGCAGCCAGTCTCACGTGGTGATTGCAGTTGCAGTTGCGGGAGTTGCGAGCACACCCTCTTCGGCTGTGAACTCCGCAGACAGAGTTGGGTGACCCACAATCAGGAAACTGGACTCCACATACGCTACCTTTTGAAAGACAATGAGCTGTGACCGACTCCGGTAGTCCAAGCCCGTCTCCCAAATGACTCAATTTTAGCAAACACGATGGGAAGTTTGATTTAGTCCGCAAGTTACTTGATTCAGGTCGAGCAGCACCACAGAGAAAACAATTACCTCTTAGCCTGATTCCACCATTGTTGGAAGATGGGGGTCTGATCCTACCCTTTTCAAAGCTTCTTCAGCCTGCCAGTCAGATTTGTCAGAAGACTTGTCAGAAGTAGAAAGTGCAGGGCACTTACTATTGTAAAGGACGACCTGCAGACCCGAATCAAATACGAAGAGAAAGCTACACTGGCTGGGACTGGGGCACGTGAACGTCACCATTTTCTTCCAGTTCATTGTAGTGATTAGAAGGAGTAGAAGCAGCGACTGCGTGAGCTGCCCACAAAGAAGTCCCATCCACAGGCCCTGCAAAAGCAACAACAGCAGCAGAAGCATGAGGAGGAGAGCACACGATCCATCGGATTAACGGTCGAGAGCTCGCCGGCGTCGACGACCATCCGCGTCTCAGTCATCGCATCGCCATCATACGTTCGTATGTTCACGCTCAGACACAACCGTCTTCGTCGTTCGGGCAGATCGGCAAACAGTTAAAAACGACGCGACATTCTTTGGAGACACGAAATATCATGCACGTCGGAACGAAAAGACAGCCTCGGAGCGAGACGATGAATGGATGAATGTCTGTCGGATGATCGTACTCTTGCATTCAGTTCCATCACGAAGCCCAGGAAAAGGCCCGCCGGGATGCCGACGATGTAGAAGGCCGTCAGGTTAATGATCGCGCCCATGTCCTGCCGCCCGCACCCTCGCGCAATACCTTCGCACAAAGCCCACACGCGCTTCGTCACCACCATCACCACACGTGTCGGACATACAGAATTATTTTCCCGAGTCCGAATCGCAAAACGCATCATAATCATCGTCATCGGCAACTGGTCATTCGACCAACGAGCGCACCTGATAACACTCCTTGAATTCCATCCAAAAGAGCGGAAAGGGCGATCAGCGGCATGAGATCGGCCACATTCACCACCACCTCCTCCACGCCGGAGAACGCCTTCCCCCACACGTGCCGAGCCGCGACCATGGCCGTGGCGATGATGCACGCCGACATGACCGAAATTCCAAACACTACTTTCCCCGCGAGCTTGGCTGCGTACGGGCGATACGCTCCCAGCTCGTTCGACACCCTCGTGCTGCACATGCACATCCATCGATCACAGAGCTGCTCTAAACTTGGACTTGCGCTTAAGTTCGCGAATCAGAGCCACAAATCATCGACTTACCTCACGGCGGCGCTCAGTCCGATGGGAATGTTGAAGGCCAAGTTCGTCGTATTCAGACTGCAAGAGCAAGAGCAAGAGCGAGTTCTCAAGGTCAGCGACTCCGACACTCAGTGCAGAAATCCGCATGCGCAAATCCAAATTCGGCAAGCAAATGCGCCGGATTGCGTCGCCGTATATAATTCTGCGCCGCACCTGATTGACAGAAGGGACAGCTGCAGCTGCGGATTCGGCAGCAGGCCCGCGGCCAGCACCAGAAGCTCGACGGTCCAGTACTCCAAGCTGCCAAGAATCAGAGGAAATCAGAAGAGAAGAGACGAGAGGAGGGCACCGGACGGACACGGATTGCGGCAGCCGGAGGGAGCGTACCAGAGCATGCAGGTGGACGGGATGCAGATGCGGAGGTAAGGTTTGACTGCGGCGAAGGCGTCCCAGGTGAAGCCGGTCCACGTGGCCTTGTACTTGCCGGAGCCCCAGGTGTAGACGATGAGCATGATGAGCAGCAGGAAGTAGGAGATGGTGGTGGCCAGAGCGCCGCCCGTGAAGCCGAAGTCGAAGGTGACGATGATGAGCTGACAGCAGATAATGTGGAAGAGCACGGCCAGCAGCGCGCACACCACGAGCGGGAAGACGACGCTTTGCGACTGCAGAAATTTGACGATCGGCTGCAGGAGCGCGGCGCCGAACACTCCGGGCACCATGTACTTCAAGTAGTCGCCGGCCATGCGGGCGATCTCGGGGTCCTGCCCCACTGCCTTGAGCACGGGCTCCATATTCCACCACAATATCAGCACGAACACGCCCACTCCACAGCCCACGATCCACGCCGCTTGCAGGTACACGCCGAGCAAGTGGTATTTCTTCGCTCCGTAGGCTTGTCCGCAGAGCGTTTCCAGCGTGCTCGCTATGCCAAGCTGCAATCAACCCACGCGAGGCAGACTTGAGACGAGATTCTTGCGGGGAATGAGTTCCTTACCCGATCGCAGACCGGCGGAATCGGATGGATTTCTGTGTCGCTGGCCGGTCTGATGGCAATTCATGCATTCGGTGGGATGTGGGGTAGGGACTACTGACCATCACTATGAACCCAGTGACGGCCGAGAACGAAGTGGCTATGGATGCACTCGAGAGCTCCAGTTCTCCCAAGTGACCCACGAACATGAGAGTGATGACGAGGATGGAGAATCCCGCCACATTGAACAAGCTCAGCGGCCAGGCGAGCGCAAGGGCCTTCTTCGTTTCGTCCCAAACCTCCAATTTGCTCGGGTCCTGCGGATCTTCTTCGGCGCCGCAGTCGACATGCTTCTGCTGCTGATGTGGCTCTTTCGGAGCGAGAAGATCAGAAGAATCCTCAGACTCCGGTAGCAGAGAGACCGTCAAAGTGCTGTACGAGCCCATGCTCTCCGCTTCTCGGCGACGAGGAGATGGACTTCCGGTCGACTCCCAGCTCGAATTCGAATGCCTGCGGCACCTAAGGCAGACTAATCAACACCTGCATTGATATACCAGCAAGCACTCCCTCCCACTCGCTCTGCCGCTGCGTGCAGATCTTCGAGCTACTGCTCTACCTGCGTCGTTCTTGTCGTCGTCGTCGTCTTGACCCGACAAATCATCGACTCGGTTCTAAACGTAGGCTTCGACGTTCCGATAGACCATCCTAGCGCTGGACCGCGCGGTGGTACGCGTGCCGCAGTCGCAGTCGCTCGGGAGCGCGGGGGGGGAGAGACCAAGAGCGAGGCAAAATGCTTCTCGAGCTCCGACGTCGAGAAGACATAGCCTGCCCGGTCCCGCGCTCTTATAGGCGTTGGCAACGGGCCGCCCGCCAGCCTGCGCGCGCAAGGGCTGGCGTCGGAGTGGCCAGGGATCGTCCGATCCTGGGCCAAGGATCCCTGTGGCGCTCATGGAGGCCTTGTCGTGGCAGGCACACGAACTGCTGAATATGTTTTCGGCCACGAGGGGCAGAGGCACGGAAATGCGCATAAACAAAGGGCTCATAATGAGCCCTCGGACCTCTGCCACATACAGGGCGAGGGTGGCAAGTCGCAACAGGCTCGACGCGCGCGGGGGCGTGAGGAAATATCGCCTCGCCTCACCTCAGCATTTGCATTATGGCGGGTTTGCATAATTGTCCCTTGCTTCCTGGCGTCTGCTTTTCACCGGCGCATCGCATCATGTCTTGTCGTGACAGGGCTGCACCTTCCGTCCGGACCGCGCTCGGCCACTGTGTGACAGTGCTGCAGCTCGCGCGGATTCGTAGCCCTGGTCCTGGTGCTACTCGTCCTGCCGCGACCCGTAGCTCGGCTTGCCATGCCATGAGCGCAGCAGTCGAGGTCGTGACGGGCCCCCGCCCGGCCCATGGCCCGTGCAAATGCCCGTGTCCCTCATCCCTCTACTCGTTCCGTCCACCACTGACTCGCTCACTCAGGCCGTCGTCCTCAGCAGCAGGACCGGGGCAAAGCTTTCCGCCCGCCTCTGCCCGAGGCCCAGTCTCCGCCGCTGCGCTGCCTTCTGACCACCCGATATTCTTTTTCCTCTCGGCGCGAACATCATTCGCTTCGTGTGACTCTTGCGACACTCCGCGCTGCTCGGCTCGATCCATAGAATAGATGGCCTTCGAGTCAATCAATCTGCTGCCCCAGCTTGCCACCCCAGTCCAATCCGCAATCACAGCACCCGAGTCAGATGCCGAAAGAATTCGAGTTTCCTCTGGTGCCCCAAATGCCGCCTCCAAGTGGATAACGAGGACAGCAGCCCTTCCAGCATGAACCCCAAAGGCGAACCAGGGTCACTCGTGGAGGTGCCGAGTTCCCACACGTCCGGAGAGGCTTTAGAGGTGCGAATGGATTCAATCAATCACTTGCACCGAAATATTTGCAGAAGCACGCGATGACAGTAAACATGTTTGATATCTGAACGATAACATGCTTGATAAGTTCGAGAAATACGCCCCCATGATTTACTACGAAAACGCAATGAAATTGGAAGAGTAGGCATTTCATCGTTTGATCATGTGCATATATTGAGAACGATTTACGGTTTGCATTTCACTTTAACTTTACACACGTGTTACATCAAAGTAAGGTCTCAACCTTACCCTATCATCATATAATGCTTCTTAATATGTTTTCAGACGAATATTCCGGACAATAGATTTCACAATTCACATCTCTTTTGAGTTCCCTTTTTTCTTCGTAATGAAACCGGGATTAGGAATTTTCGTACGTCGTATAAACCTAAAAATAAGTCAATCGCACAAAATATCATATGACTATAATATCTCGAAAGTATAATGCATTACTGAAATTTTAAGTAATTCGTTTCCGTACTGCGAATGCGTGTAACTGGTAGTCATCAACACGCTCAGATTACAATATAATCAATATTCAATTCAATTCATTCAACTGTAATATATATGTATATATATCAACCGTAGCTTGCGATAGCATAGACAGTTGATGAAAATTACCAGGTGGGTAAATACTGGCCACCCAATACATGTCTCGTCATCGTCATACCTCGTCCCTTGTCCGTAGTTATAGTGGCTACAAATAAAATTGAAACGCATTGTTCAGGGTTCGTTCATGGTGTTAGATCCAATTCAAAAGCATAGGCCGTTGACATGTCCGGCACCCTTTCTCCTCCTCTCGGTTTTGAGCCTCCAGTTGTGTGTCTGACCAGAAACGCATAACAGGGCATCCTTAAAAATATATTTTCAATCCACGTGCTCTGGTGCCAGTTGGAGGAATGTACAGGAAGAGTGCACTCGAATTACTATTTGGTTGCAGCAGTCGGTGGTGACCCCCAAAACTTTTTTGTTCTCTGGATGCAACACTAAATTGATAACGCGTCGACTTCAGTTCTTGAGATTTTTTACAAGTCCGGATGTTTGTATCGGATCTTACGTCGCTTGATGATGTGGCAGAGGAGGGTACGGTTCTCGACTTTTATCTGTCACTCTCTTTTCTTTTATTCTCTAACAGTTCCATTACGACACCTTTTTTTCTGTGCTTTTCCCGGTCAGAGAAAAAAACATGCACAGTAAAACGTACTGTGTAACATTCATTGTAAGTTAAGTTTCCATGGTTGAAGTATCTATGAAAATAGTTCATGAGAAAAGAGGTCAAGGTATCATGAAATGAATAAAGTACAGAATAAGGGTTTTATAAGTTAAATATAATCCACTCATTTTAAGTTACGCTTCCATGGTTGAAGTATCTATAAAAACAGTTCATGAGAAAGGAGGTCAAGGTATCATGAAATGAATAAAGTACAGGATAAGGGTTTAAATAGTTATGCATAATCCACTCATTGTAAGTTACGTTTCCATGATTGAAGTATCTATGAAAACAGTTCATGAGAAAGGAGGTCAAGGTATCATGACAAAAATAAAGTACAGAATAAGGTTTCTATTAGTTATGTATAATTCACTCGATCAATGAAATACATAGTTTCATCGTTGGTTCTTAGGGGTGACACTGATGTGCAGTGGTTAGCACCCGGTCTCGGAGTGGGATGGAGTTAATCACACTAACACACGCACACACGTGGAGTTAATTACACTAGAGAAGATTCCAGCGACGGAGAAGGGTTTGTTCCTGGGTGGCGACGTTCGGCCAAATGCGAATTTCGATCATGTACAGGTCTTATGGCAAACGAAGACGTGAATGTGGAGAGCATTTGCAGTCATGTACGGAGAAGGAGGGCAAGACATTGCACAGTAGATCACTCCCTCACGCAGTAGCCTCGGGAAGCCAACCAGTTAATGGTCATGGTGGCCATGACCGCCTGTGAAGGAGAATGTTCTCGGACGGTGCGATCCGGACCGCCCCGATCCGATGCTGCATGAGTCATGCAGCATGACGCTATAACCTACGGATACATTCCCTTCCACATAAGACAAACATTCGGTGCCGTGATCTAGGACCTTCATGTAACGCCCGGCGGACACGCGCGCGTCGGCCACACTTTTGAATCCCGGGTCTCGACCGGCCGATGACCGGTTCCCGGCGGACTTCCACTGACTTCCGGTATCTAGACCAGGATTCCGGTGGGCCCGCGGCCCGTCCGGAAATTAAGGCCCAAAGGTCCAGCCCCACGAACGAGGAAAAGCGTCCATCGCTGAGTGAGGACGAGCTCTTTCTCTTTTGGTTCTGCCGAAGACCACGGGCACTGATGCATGTTCGATCGACGAGGTGGCCATCGACGCATCGGTGTTGTGTGATGTGAGCAGGAGGTCCGATCGCCCGCCCTGTGGTTGTGCGTCTTGTCATGCTCGTCGACGAGCCAATTCGGTGCACTTCGCCATCATTACATTCTTGTCCGGTGCATACATACTCTTGGTGCTGCTGGTGGGTATCACATGCAGAACATACGAGTACGGTGAATGTGAAAACCGGTTCACATCCTCGCGGCGGGTACCCGACTCTCGATGTAGCCTGCAAAGAAGGCCATGGAATGAAATCCACGTTTAGGGCATGCGGTCGAGCATGAGTTCAGCGAGTTCGTTTCGTGTTCAGCGAAAAACTGGAGCGTACGGGTTTGTTCTGACACCCAGAAACGATTAGAGTAATGAAGACTGCCAACAAACTGTACTTCTGTCCTGATCTTCAGACGAAAACCGAATCACGTTACAGGCCTTGCATCGAGGGAACGGTTCGTCAGAACAAAACCCTACTTTCACTTACGGGGGACGACGTAACTTCTCGAGTAATATGCAGAAGATGTTGAGAAGTGTAGAAATAAATAGAAGACATTGAAAGTATGTGGGAAAGGCAGCACAAGCAGAGGGATCGCGATGAGCCAACCAGAGCAAAAAGTTCACCCGTCTGTCTATATACTGAACAGTTGGCACCGAAGAGCTCAGAGTGCGTTGGAACATCTCAGTACGAAGCCCATGCCCACCATAATTATCAAATCGTCCTTCATTCCATCTAGCCCGTGCTCAGGACACCATCCAGTGCGACAATATGCTCCGATGGTATCGAATTTGTACCTTCACCATTCAAAATGGGTACGCATGGAATCAAAACGGTTAATGTACGAGTGCTGCAGAACGCTTAGAACATCTAAAGATGGGATACTCTGTGGGAAAAACAATTCTCCTCTATTAATCGAGGAAATAAAGGCAAAAGAAAACAATGCCATAGGGCCAAAGAAATAGAGAGATATTCCTTCTCCTGATGAAATTGTAATCTAGCCCTCTGCATGGAAAGATCATGTAACAGATGGCGATTTAAAACAAGCGCCACCCATTGAACTATTTAATTTTCAGACAAAGACTTGACAGATTGAAAGGGATAATCTCTACAGTGCTATATATTTAAGGAGGAAAAGTATAAACGTATCTATCATCAAATCTATCATGTTACATATGTATAAAATCTCCAAAAAATTGTTTTCATTTCTGGTGCATCTCCAAAGATGTATCTCACTTTTAGTGACGAGTTATTGCAAGTAGACGGAGTTTTTTAGCACTTATAGTTTTAGTCCTAATGACATTAGTAGCAATACTAAATAAGTTCTGATGAATAATGATTTGTTCATCTTAGAACATGTAGAGATTAATTCAAGTTCATACAACAAATTTTAATATTAATGATCCATCATCACGGCATCTCTTTTTAAGAGGGTGTACATGTGCGGCAGTATATTCAATAATAACAGCCAAATTTGGAGCGCCATATGTAGGTAATCTTAGTTACACATTTCAACCATTGGACATAGATTGCTTAAGTGCTAGATTTGTAGACTACACCTTAAAAGTTCGACTCGCTTAGTTGCACAAACTTTTACAAACGGCCGTACTGCCAGGTGTCAGGGATCCCAGTTTCTTTCTCCTCTTTCTTTCTTTCTTCATCCTCCCTTCGGGCTGCCCCGGATCAGCCGGATTTTATCTCAGTTTTGGGAACGGGGAGGCGGGGCACTTTGCGGGGAGGGAACGGGGAGGGCACTTTGCGGCAACCATGTAGAGGCCGCAACGTTGTATCTAGTGCGTTGCAATGATCTACACCGTAACAATGATCGCAGTCGTGTCATGGAACGTTGCGGGAAAAAGAACTAAAACTGAACTGCAAGAGGGATAGCTCAGATGGAATCCCTAATGTTCAGAATGTAATATTTGTAATGAAACGGTGATAACAAATTGAGGCGACAAAATTTTAAGCGGCAAAGATTAGGGTTTTTGAAAATAGAATCACATCAATATTCTCCAGCTCGTCGTTTCGACGTCGCATTTGGGTGCCAGTGTCAGTGCTTTGAGGAGCTCGTGCCAGAGCTCGTGCTTGTACTTTTCTTGTCATTTCATGTGCTTTTGCAGGTGTGGTGACAGCATGGAGGCAGGATGGATTGTGCAGGACCCACCTTATGAAGGCCCTTTCAATTCGTTAATGTTGAATTGGTCAAATGGGACGGCCTACATCAAAAGCTCGAGGCTTAACGATTTTGTTTCGGGAGAGGGATCTTGTCATAGTGATGCGAAGACAGAATTTGTGACACGTTGCTCATACAAGGGTGGAGGTACTAGGCACAATTGGAAATCGTATGCAATGTATTATTGCAAGTATGGTACTCCAGAAAGGGGCAAGAAGAGTATGCTTTCCTCGAATTTTATTCAAGATCCATCAACAAAGGCAAAATTTGGTCCTGGCAGCAGGGATAGACTAGATCATGATTCGCATCACAAGGGCTGTCAGTGCAGGTTTAGTGCCATTAAACTGCTGTCTAATGATCACATTCCACCAGGAATCACAAAATTGATATACAAGCATAGAAGACACGTAAATGCTGCAGGTGTAGCTTGTCATGGCACAGCGTGTTCGGATAGTGTTGGCTTGCCATCTCAAATGGCGCGCAATTTATCCTCTCAATGCAGGTAACGGCATATTTGTTACATTTTCAATATATTTGTTTATCGTTCACAGTCAATCTCCCGTCATATTTGTAATATCTACAATAAGTTTGTTGTTATTACAGTTTGTAAAACTTTGACACTAAGCAAGCACGTTGTCTAATATTTTCTACGTTCTTATGCCAGGGAGTGGGTTGAATGCGAGTTAAGAAGAGGTTTAACTCCTCCACAAATTCTCATGCGTGCTGCAAAAGCACTGTTTGAAAATCATCAGCGCTTAGGCTATGTGCAAGGATCCCCTATTAGAGATCATTATATCACATCTGCCGATGTGTATAATATCAAATTGGAACTGGACAAAGAAACTTGGAGAAGGCATGCTAATGATAGAATTAGCACAGAATTATGGATGAAAGCGAATTCATCTCAAGTTGTTTTGTATCAGACACCAAAAAGTGATCCATTTAAACCATTGAGGCTTGCTGTTACAAGACCCTTGCTCCTAGATTGGTTGCTAAAACATGGAAATGGAGGTTGTGTTGCTATAGATGGAACGCATGGCACGCAGAAGTATAAGGTAATATTCTACTACCACATTTTGATGTTTTTATCATCAGGCTTCCATGATTATGTATATTCTACCTTACTATTTGCAATCTCTGCAAGATATTTGAAAAAATGACGGTTTGGAGCTTTAACCAATCCTGTAAGAGATTATTGAACGTCTCAATGTGTGATGTATATGTTGTTTTATATACCTTGATCACGTCTAAATTATCAAGACATAAAAATAGCGAATCATTCATTTGTATCAGGTTTAGCTTAGTATCAATGAAGATGAATACTTTGTAGACGATTGCTAGCAGCAAACTGATACGTTTATTTCATTTTTTGCAATGCAGTATTCACTGTACACCCTGATGGTGTTTGACGAATATGAACACGGACATCCTACTGTTTTTGGATTCCTCGAAAGAGAAGAAACAGAAGATCTGGTGGATTTATTATCTGCAGTGAAGAAGATGACCCAACATTCTATCCCTGGATGGATGCCCTCGTGCTTCATGACGGATTGTGCTGACAATGAGAGACTTGCCCTAGACATTGTTTTTCCGCATATCCCTGTATTTCTTTGCATATATCATGTTCAAAAAGCATGGACAAAGAAATTGATTGAGGTTGTGAGTGGTCATGAAAAGAGAGCTATTATGAATGCTTCTTTAGAAGACCTGTGCTTTGGAAGCACATTAATTGCTGATGGAGAAGAATTTGATGTGGAAAGATCTGCTGCGATGAAGCTTCTGTTATTTTACAAAAAATTTCAGCTCTCTGAGCCACAATTTGTGAAATATTTTCAAACAGAATGGGAACCTTGTATGGGTAAGTGTAAGTTTGTAACATGTGCATTATATTTGAAGTTATTACATCTTGGAAGTTGTTTTTTGCTTAATGAACTTCCACAAGCACATCTAACTTACTGTTTTGGAATTCAGGTCAGTGGATTCGTGATGAACGGAGGAAGACATGTCGTAACAATCAAGATACCAACAACGCTATGGAATCAATGCATGGACACATGAAGGATTTCCTTTATGGCTGGCGCAGGAATGCACATGAGCAACGTTTGGATCATACAGTATATGGTCTGCTAGGGGATTTTGTAATGAGAATTTGGTACAAAGATCAGAAGAAGCTACTTGGCTTTATTCCAAATAAGAAGAAAGATCAACGTGTGATTGCTGTGATCATGAAGACAAGATCTATGCTAACTGTCCCTGTTACTTGGCCTCATGGCTATGCAGGCCCCGCATTAGTGGGCTCTACATCAAAGCTAAATAGAAGGTATCTTGTAAATTGGAGACGAGAAAAGTAGGCATGCGAGTGCTTCTGGTCACTCCAAGGCAACTTTTGCTAACATCAGGTACAACTCAGATTGTAATTCTGTCTTTGATTGCATATATTGGTCGTATCTGTATTTTTTATTAACACTGCTTGATTCATGTGTCTCTAGATTCTTATTCTACGAAGGAAAGGATATTCCGAGACCAACATCCGCATTTGTTTGGGCATACGGTTTGGTGGAATACGAGGTGGAATCAAAGAGCTCTTTGATAAAGGTCCTTCATCACAGATATATGATTTCAATGAGGATCCAGTCCTTCGAAGAGAACTTGCAGATATTGAAGTCAAAGATGATCGTCATGACACCTTCAACCTTACAGAAGGTACTTCAAACTGTCATTTTAATGTGCAATAACTGCATATATTTTGCAGAAATGACAGTTTGAGTGATGAAACTACCTAACCGTACATGTTCTATGTGTTATCAGATACGGACAGCCCTGTAAAGAAAGCATCAAAGCCAACAGATCTGGAGGAGGAAGAAAAGACCAAGCGTGTTCTTCATACTCAATTGGTATGGCTGAAGGACTTTTTTGATGAAAATCCTAGTATGCTGAAAGTGGGGAAGCTAGAGGTCCGGCATTGCATTGGACGTATCAAGGAGTCTCACCAAGCATGGAGTACTGGTAGAATACTTCCTGTTGCAGACATGTGGCGTACATCCATGCTAGATAAGCCTAGCTCATCATTCAGGAAATTGAGTTGGCTTGAAAAATTAGCAGGCATTAAATGTCCTAAGCCACAGAGATTACTTGAAACAGGAGAAAGATTTAGAGCCCCTACCGCAGATTTAGGAAAGGTAGAAGAAGGAGCTTTACAGCTCAGACTTCGAAAGGGCAGGCAGAAGGCCAAAAGAACTCGAAGTCTGATCAAGCAATTCCTTCAGGCAAGTGCAAATAGAGAAAAACGCAAAGAGTAACAAGCTAGAATTCTAGGAGAGACGATCGACTTGACTCTTTCTCCCTAAGTTGTTTGCTTGTGATGCATGAATGTTGTTTCAATTTCATAGTAAAATGAAACCATTTTGTCCAATTCCACATTTAGCTGATTTGCATGCGCTGATTACAGTTTGGAAATTTATCATGAACTCACGGTACACAAATTATTTGTTCAATGATGACAGTCAATGTTGCTAAGATGACGTTTCAAAATTAAGAAACTTGATTCTGCGTATTTTGATATTATTGAGATCCAACTTTTGATATATTAATGAATGTATCTGAGTGCTACTCAAGTTATATTAAAGGTGTGCTGGAAGAGACGTTTCTATGTAAGGTCTTTCTTGTTGGAGCTTGTTGGATTGCAAGAAGACGCGCCATCAGCTTGGATGTGACAGCTTGATATTCTTTAGTCAAAAGTCTTTGGAATTCCAGGAGCTGGAGGCAGTGAAATGTGCAAGGATGAGAAGTAACTTATAGCACCAGTTAGATCTTGCAAGACTTGAGCTTAGAATGTGTGATCTTGCTTGAATATTGACCCTCAGAACTTTACTTGTTCATTG